CACAGAAATGCTTAACCCTCGTTTTAGAATTTGACATTTTAAAAATTTGTGGTTTTGTTTTGGGAGTTTAGCTTGTCTGATCGTACCTATAACACAATGGTCACTAAAACCATTTGCAAATACAGCAGTATTCGAATGTCTCTGAGGAGCATTTGTTAGAAATAAATCGAGAAGAGAGGATTTCTCTGGGCATTTAAGAGTCGGACGAGCTGAGCTGTTGATTAAGATTAAATGAGTCATGGGTAGATTTATTTAATAATCTAATCTGTATCATTTTTGGCAGCAGCATAACAAAATGTGAAAGAAGTGAAAGAGTCTGAACACTTTCTGAATGCACTGGTATCTTTGGTAATAAATGCTTATAATATTAAACATTCACGATCAGACATCAGACACTCACTCCCCAGCAGTACGTTGAATTCCTCTTTGTTTTACTCTTGACACTTAAACTCAAGTCAGTGTGTTGATGTCCAGAACATTGTGTTAGTTCAATTTCCACATAGCTGTTGCTATTTCAGAGGCGATATTTTGTTATTTCAAAGAACATGTTTACATTTTTGTCTGCACATTAATAAATAAGCTCCAATAAAGCAGTGGACTGATACGCACTACTGAAGAGAAGTGGTATTAATGAAAGCCTAACAATACTCATATGGCGCACAGCGCTCAAGTGTCAAGACAAGCAGAATGGCGCCGGGCTTTTCTCAGGGTGGTTTGTGAAAATGATGGTCAGTCAGAATGAAACTGATAAATGTCAGTGCAGCATTCACTGTTGTTTTAGCCTCAGGTGGTCGAGGAACTGAGGGAATATATATTTGGCTATTTTTCTCTCTTTTCTTCTACCATCTTGTTTTACTAACTGTTGAAGTAAAACATAATTTAGCACACAACAGTCCAGATTATCACAAGTTACAAACTAACAAACAACATAAACAAATAAAAGATCGTTCTGATCCGTCTGCTAGTCTCTGGTTCTGGTCTCAACAGACTCCTCATCTGAGTCTGGGTCTGACTGAGGCTCAAACATGTTTCCTCCTCCGATCATCTTGATGCTCTCTGCTCCTTCACCTGTACACCTGGAGCCAGCAGGTGGTGGGCGGGGCTCAAGGCCTGATCTGGATCTCTCAATGAGGAAGTAAAAGCAGGTGAGATTAAGACACAGTTTTCCTTTTTTTCACTTTTTATGTGGGAAAACGATGTTAAACAAAATATGAATCATGCATACATACGTTACATAGTTTAAAACATGTAGGAGAAGAGCTCCTTGCTACACACCACAGAAGAACATTAGATTTCAACACCAACGTCGTTTTGAACGACCTGTAGCACCTGACAGATCAAACAGGGTGTGAACAGTCCTTTCTAGCAAAAGTATAAAATCTTGTTTATTTTCCTTTCATAGAACAGTTAGCAGCTTTAATACGTGGATCAGATTGTTCAGGAGAGTCCTTAAATCCATCAAGCGAAGAGTTACCTGAGTTTACACAGATGGATAATATGACAAAGACAACTCACTCCTTCACCCTTTCACACCAAAGTTACTGCGTATAAGCAGAGTTGTGTCGCAGCTCCGTGTGAGAAGCTTCGGTCTGGTGTGTTTTTAGTGTCAGTGGAAGGTGTAGCCGCTGTGTTTCTGGTTTAACAGCTGAGCAGGTCTGCTGACCATGTTTGTGTGTCCAGACAGACGCAACAGCACGGGAAAGGTTAACATTAGATACTTACTGTATGTCATTGCTCAAACATTATGTAAATGACTTTTCTGGCGTGAAAGTGACATGTTTTACGAAGGAGGGGGGCAATAGGCCTTCATTCTTCTCCTTCTTCGAATGCATTTCCAGCGGGCTGTACGCCACGAAGCCTAATGCTGCTCTCCACCGTTATTAAACAAAAGGAGTCATTACAGATCATGTTCTAGATTATAGTCCAGTATAACGCAGGAAATTCAAAACAGCTTTCTCAACTAGCTGATAGTTATTTCCATAAGAAAACAACAGCAAATCAGGCGGCTCTTTAAACAGTTGTTGCCGTTGACCTCAGTAATGTCTACAGGCCAGAAGAACATGGTGCACATGATGCCATCTGCATGCTTGCCTATCATTCTTAAACAGCCTTGCTAGGACACAGTGACCTGATCGTAACCTGGTCATGATGACTTCATCTCTTCTTTTAGAGCTGTGACCTTTCCCTTTTCACCTTGAGTTGCAAAGAAAAAATAAAGTCTCTCCCTTCCACTCCTTTTTCCTCCCGCCGCTCACAGGGGCAGCTATAGGTCTTCAGTAAGTCCATGAAATAAAACAACAAAGCAGGGACAGGCAGAAATAACATCTATGTGAATGCAATTGAAAGCTCCGGAGCAGCTACTGAATGGATTTTGAGGCCACATAGTTCTGTTAAATGCCCCGTTATGTTTTGGAAAAGTTTTATTTTCAGCTGCTTCAAGTTTTATTTTATTTGATTTTTTTTAGGAATGTATCAAACTTTCTCTTTAAATGATAATTCATCTAAAGCATCAACGGAAACTCAATATATAAATGTTGTTAAAATGCTCATACAGTGACTTGCTGCTGTTTAATAACTGATCTACTCACTGCTCCATATTGTTATGGAATGTGAAATTGCAGTTATCGAGTGACATCCAGCACAATGAACTGGCTGGCACTGGGCTCATAATTATTTGGCACTAGAACGCCCTCTGCTGATAAAGTCAAAAAACACCAGCTGATCAGAGATCCAGAAGCAGTGGGGTCAGCTCACTTTGAAAACCACAGGCTTGTGTCTGACCTTTGACTTCCTCCAGGTGACATCCGATAGCCTCCGACAGTGAGTCATAGTGTGACATCATGGGCCACCTTTGACCCCCTTATGGATCAATCTCCCTATAGGTGGGTTATAAGTGGGTTATCAGGACAAGGGGTACAGATACTCTACTACTTTCTACTGCACTGCATGTATTTATCAACTTAAATTCAAATTTACACACAATCTTATTAAATAATCTCAATGAGCACTTTATTAGGAACACCATACTAACACTGGGTACTTCCTCCCTTTGCTCAGCAGCCTCAGTTCTTCATGTCATTGATTCCACCAGATGTTGAAACTTTCCTCAGAGCCTCTGCTCCATGTTGACATGATGCATCACAACATTCCTGCACATTCAACAGCTGCACATTCAAGCTGCCAATCTCCTGTTCTACCACATCCCAAAGGTGTTCTACTGGATTCAGGTCTGGAGACTGGAGAGAGAGGGGGGGGGGGGTTACTGAAGTTCACTGAACTCACTGTCATGTTCATGAAACCACTTTGTGACATGGAGCATTATCCTGCTGGAAGGAGCTGTTGTTAGAAGATGGTGAACTGTGGCAATGAAGGGATGAACGTCTGATGGTATCCCTTAATAAATGGTGCAGGATTCTAGCAGAGGGACTCACCAAGTTTTTATATCTTATTATGCAATGTTCTGCTGTTTTTATCCCTAATGGCCTCATTGGACAAAGTTAAAGTAAATGAATTAAACTTATTTGGTATACATATTTGTGTGTAGCTCCAAGGGGGGGTTGATTTCTCATCAGAGTGAGTTGCCGGAGCAGTCCAGTTCATTTACCACTCTGTTTGATTTCACTTCAACATCTGATCAGCAGTAACCGAAGACAAGAGTGACAAAATCCATCATCTACAACAGAGGTTTTCAAAGTGGGAGGCGGGCCTCACCAGGGGGGCTCCAAACAGTTTCAGTGGAGGCTCGGTGAATGGAAGGGGGAAAAAAATATTACAAGTTATTACATTATCAAAATGAGATCACGTAAATTAGCCTGAATGCGTGTGATTTGGTTAAAGAGATACTTCAGAGATACAGTCATTTTGGGGAATTTTACTGTTTTTCCCACAGTCAGAAACTAATAATGGCCTCAGGACACACCTTTTTTATGTATTTAGTCTCAAGTCAAGTCAAACTGCAGTATTGGATTATCTCAGCTCAGAGTGTCTGTGGGATCAAATAACAATCATGACCCCGTAGGCATCCAGGAAACAAAGCAAATAAACTAAGATGGGGGAGTCTCAGACTTTGAAAACCCTGATCTGCAACACTACACAGGTTCACTTCATCATCACATTGTTTATGGTCATATCTTTAGTTTATTCTCGAAGTCGAGCTGAGGAAGAACCTCCAAACATGACAGTTGGATGAGATGTTTAAATGCCAGTTTGCATATTTGAGTGTCTCAAAACCAGTTCAAGGGTTTATCAGGTTTCTGAAACCAGGATATAACCTTTACAGTTCTTTCTCAACACTTAACTGGGATATTCCAAAAAAAAATGATCATAACCAGAATACTTTCCATGTTAACACACTCAATGTGACATATTGATATTACTGTTACTGCATCTATAAATCAATTCGCTGTAAAAGCATAAAACAACTCAGGAGACGTAAAAAAACATCAGTCAAATGTCATATTTTGACAACTGCTCAGAATTATGTAGAGAGAGCTCTTCCTGGAGCCATCACTTTGCAGACGTTCAACAATGATACAAATAGAAATCCGTCACTGAAGTGACACATTTTTACATCCAGAAACTAAAGCAAAATGTAGTAACGAGAATGTGAGAAAATGCTAATTAATTAGAAGACAACGAGGCAGTTTGAAGGAGAGTGGGTACAGTAAACAGTGGCAAAAATAGGAATCACTTATTCATATCCAGCATTTGTTTGCGTTTTAGTAAAAGGATGAAGGTCTTTATAAATATGTTGGGGTTGTGACATAAAACAGCTGTAAGACGCCTGGAGATAACTGACAGATTTATTGACACGTGGTCCAAAAAAAAAAAAAACAACATGCAGGAATAAATAAAATACAACTGAGGATTCTGAAGGGCTTTTACTTTGATGAGACAAAGGTGTGAGCATGACATGATGAATGAGAATAAGTGGTTCAGTCTTTTATGCAGTGTGTGTGTGTGTGTGTGTGTGTGTGTGTGTGTGTGTGTGTGTGTGTGTGTGTGTGTGTGTGTGTGTGTGTGTGTGTTCCTGCCTGCCTGCCTGCCTGCTCCACACAGCGCTTCAGCTTGAGTCCGTTAATCTTTCAGTGGTTTCATTTGGCTCTCTTCACTGATCCTCTCCTCCATTCTGTCCACTACTTTCGTTTCCTTCTCCTCCTCCTCCTCCTCCTCCACCATTAGTGGTAACCAGGACTCTTTGTGCAGCCTCTCATTCCTTTCCACCTCCTGAATGGTGGGTGGCGACGTCACCTGCATGTGAGCCGGCAAGTGCTTGAACTCGTCCGCGTTCACGTCATAGTCCTGCATCTTTGAGTCCAGGATCCACCAGCGGCCAACGAAGCCCACATCCAGCACCCGCCGGGGGAACTCCCACCAGGGCTCTGACAGATTGGAGCACTGGGCTTCGTACAGTGTGGCGTCAGGATCGTAGCTGGAGTGGTAAACCAGAGAGAGAAGACCCAGGCTGGCGTGGCGGAGTCGGCCCTCGTTACGAAGCTTCACCAGACTCTGCACGTGCCCGTCAGAGTTCGCACTGCGGATCCACGGTGACAGCAGGGCCAGCTGGTTGGAGCGCTCCAGCAGGGCTCCCTCAAAGGACGATCGGTCTGGTTTAGTGTAGAAACAGGCCCAGGCCCCGCCCAGCAAGGTCATGTATACTGAGGCTTTGACCGGCCGCTCCCAGGCACCAACCACCATCTCCCTACATGCCTCTTTATAATCAGAGACCAGGCTGCGGCACCACACACCTACAGACAGCAGAGGAGAAGACACTTCATTACACCTGGTGTCCTAAACACACACACCTCACTGAGCAGCCTTCATCTCAGCCAGACACTGCAGCTGTCAGTTAGTGCATCTGAAGTACACATTTATCAAACTCGCACAATTCATACTTCTTTAGAGCTGCAACAATAAAACAATACAGCTGTGTTGTATATGGAGGGAAGACAAGGGCCATTCTATTTCTATTTAATGCTCTCTATGTTTTTTCCCCATTACAGTCTCAATTCACGGATTCCTTTCTCATCTCTAATGAAGATGAACAAACAGAAGCTAGGGCTGGGATTAATAATGGGAGATTAATAATGGGAGAACTATGGCTGAACGATATGCAAAGAGAAAAAAAGAAGAAAAAAATCATATTGCATATGAGTCATGATTTCAGTAGGAATTAGTAGTAATTTTTTCATTTCATTTGTTGGTGCTTACCTTTATCAAAAAAACAACTGCAGCTCCTACAATTAGGATATTGCACTTAGCCACATTATGATTTAGATAATATTTCATTAATTGTTCTGTTCGAGGGTGAACGAATAATGAAATGGATCACACACACTTACTCAAGATTTTATAACATTTATACACAACCTTGAACAAGATGAGGCATGATTAAGTGTAAGTATAAAACAGATCCTGCTGACTGAATCTATGACAGTCAGACTACTGACAGACAGCTACTGTGGTTATTGCCATGCTGGATAACAGCTACATTAAAGTTATTGTCATGCCACCAATATACAGTAAGGCTATAGCAACATTATGCAGGGAACACATCTGTTGGGCAGCATGGGAAGTCACCATGTACACCTCCTGATGGTGTCTTAAATTTAGCATAGTGCAATGTTAGTGTAAAGCTATCAAGTGAATTGAGCAGTAGGTTAAACCAACGGTTACCTTAACTTTAACTAGTGGTGTCCCTGTAACCTTACACTAATTAGCTGATGTCTCTCGTGAGCTCAGTATCTCACCTGCTTTGCTGTTTTTCAGTCTTTCCCAGCGGGTTTTTGAGACCGGAGCTGCTGCTGCTTCGGCCGTAGCACAGAACATCCTCGTTGCGACACGCAACGAAGCCATTTCGACTGATTTTTAATGACTAGAACGGTCACCTTCATGCAGAAGAATCATTCTGATGGTCAAAAAGACAGCTCACATGGAGCCAAAATGGCGCCTAGTGGTGTATCTGTTTTAGCCTTCCGACAGAAAGTGCTAACTCGCAAACGGTCCGCTTGTTAACAGTTGAACACCTCCTACTTCTTCTTCTATAATTTTAATGGTGTACTACAAACTAACGTTGACCCAAAATATTTCAGAAAAGAAATCGTAATTGAATAAATATTTGCCTAAAACGTAATCTTAATAAGCATTGACAAACACATTATTCATAGCATAACAAGCCTATGAAAGGAAAATTATAAATTATAAAAACTCTCTCCAACGCTTCTTTGGCCGAATTTCTATTTTTGTTGAACATTTTTTCGTTTTTAATTTGATTATATCCTTGTTTTTTTTTTTGTTTTTTTGTTTTTTTTTACCATAGTTCCTGGAATTATACAACACAGGTCAAATAAAATAAAATAAAAACACAAGTAGTTTTCTCGGGTACACAACATACAGCGTCAACTCAAATTTACTCAGATGTGTACAAAAATAGTCTATTAAATATTATTTATCAACATTTGGAAATAACCGCAAAAAAGTCACATTTGTAGGCACAAACGGTGAGTTACAGTGGGAGATGGGTGTAGGGACCATGGACGTACATCCATGGTAGGGACCGAATTGGAATTGAGCCTTTTTTTTCTACATTTCGATCGCAGCCCACGATTCACGTGACAGCTTTGTTTACGTGGTGACGTGTACCGGAAGGCATGCCAACTAGACTGCCTGCCCTGAGAGCAGTGTCGCTACCTATGACAGACAACCGTTAGCAGTGTTTTATTATTATTTCTGTCAGTTTATTAAACCTACACGTCACGTGTTGTCATATATTTACGTTTACCACATTTAGATGTTAAAACCGATGCGAAACGAGAGTGCTAGCCTGCGTTTAGCCTAGCTAGTTTTAGCTGTTACAGCCGTGTGGCCGCTGACAAGCCACCATCAGGGTCATCCTTCTGCGGACAGGTGCGAGTTTCAACGAGTTTTTCTGGTAACAATGCATAGGCAGAATTTAAAAGTTACTTGTCTTGGTTACTTTTGAGAATGGTGTGGATTATTGTATATTTACCTTTGTATTTAAAAGAGCTTCTTAATAGGTTAGCTTGCTGCCTAGTATATTAACAGATGTTTGGTCTGTAAAGAGAAATTGACTGACTTTTAAGCTATATCCATCCTGCAGGAAGCTGTTTTATGTGAACATAACGTCTTACATCAATGTTCATCTTCTCTAAGGTCTTGCATGAGGTTGCTGTTTGGCCACAGAAAAAATGGCCAGCCCAAATGATTTACACTTTCAAGGTAAAGATCATGGAATTTAAATATTTTTTAATTTATCATAGCCTGGTTTTCATATGATACAACCTTTGGAAATTAATTCAATCATTTGATCTGTGACATCTGCCCTCATTTTTAACTGTATGACCATAAGATCTGTTAGACAATGGGTGCCTCTCATTTGTTTATAATTGTCTCTACATTTCCTTAACTTGAGTCCTTCCTTCACATCCTAGTCTCTTCCGCTTAGAGAGCAAGGAGAGATTGACAGAAGAAGGAAAGAGAATTTGAGGAAACATGTTTTTAGTTAAATGAAACAACCTTCTCTCTGAACTGGTGTCTGAAGTGATGGCACAGCTAGGTCAGCTGTCAGGCTGCAGGTGTTACAACTCAGTAGTGTCTTTGATGCCTCAGAGTGAAAAGACTGTATTTGTCCAAATAATAAAAGGACGCTTGGCAGCGATGCTTCATGATGGAGGACTAGATGTCTTCATCTGAGGAGCGAGCTGACAAGACAGAAGGCAAATGAGAAGCACCCAGGTCTGCGGCAGATTAATTGCAATCCTGGGATACAGTGACATCTAGTGGCATTAGCTGATTTCTGCAGGACACGAGCTGCAGTCAGACTAAACCACAGGGGCAGTTTAAACTGCCGGTGGTGGAACGTAACTAAGTACATTTACAAAGGTACTGTACTTCTGGGCACTTTTGAGGTACTTGTACTTTACTTGAGTACTTTCATTTTATGCAACATTATACTTCCACTCCACTACATTTTAGACATATTGTACTCCATTACATTTATTTGACAGCTTTAGTTACTAGTTACTTTTAAGATGAAGATTTTACACAATAGATAATCTAACAAGCTTTTAAAATACAACACATTGTTGTTTGTCTTTTGCTGCTGATACTTATGTATACTTATATACTTTTGCTAGAGTATTTTGACATTGCTGTATTGGTACTTTTACTTCAGTAAAGGATCTGAATACTGCTTCCTCTACTGTAAAGTGTAGCTACTGAGAACACAGCAACCTCTCATGTTATTGTATCCAACACAGGTTTATGTTATGTTATGTTAATGTTCACAAATACTTTGACATCTGATATTCTTTTGATGAATTGTCTGTTAAAGAGTAAATTCTAATTACACAAATTACAGGTTAGGTTCCACTTTGTGTTGTGCTTTAGTTTAATCAGTTTCATCATTCTTCTGCCTGATCAGTCAGTGCAGAACCTGATCTGGAGTAGAACAGTTTTGTTTTGTGTACACCTTGGCTCTGGGCCCATTGTATCACCACCACTACCACTGACTCCCCGTGTTCTCCTCCGCATGTCTGTAGAGTTTGAGGAAGCAGCAGAGCTGTTGTCTGCAGACCCAAAGGCCTCCACACTCAGTATGTCTGCCTCAGACACCCCTGCTACAGCAGGAGGAGGAGAGGATGTGAAATTAGACCTGTCGGAGGATGAGGAGGGTCAGGAGGAGAGTTCAGAGGTGAGTAAATTCTCTGTGTTGACTTACGTCACCACGACACCGGTTAAGAGTGTTGATGTTTTCATTTGACAGCAGCTGAGAGCTGTCTGTGTTTTCAGTTGTTAGGAGGACAGAAACCAACCGGTGGCTTTTGGACCTTTGAGTACTATGAGTCTTTCTTCAATGTGGACACAGTGCAGGTATGAGCCACTCCCTCTCTACAAATACAGTCATTATACAACTGCAGCTGTAATTGAACAGTGGATACAAGTGTTTTTTAAATAGCAAACCAAGTTAAAAGACATTTGCATTTGTATTAGTGACAGTTCCTAACAGTTTGTTCTTCTGTTTGACCCCCATCATGTGATGCAGGTACTGGACAGAGTTAAGGGATCAGTGTTGCCGTTACCTGGAAAAAACTTTATCAAACACTACCTTAGATCTAACCCAGATCTATACGGTAAGCCAGTAGAGACAAATTCAATTATTTAAAGATCATACTCTAATTATTAATGCTTACATTCAACTTTTTCCCTCTACTTTTTAAAATATTCAGCTTTTTCCAAAACATTTGTGCCATTGGAATGAATGGAAGAACTGTTCAAATCCTCTGAAACTTACTCCACTTTGAACTTCAACTGTTTCCACATACTTTCAGCTACAGATGCATTTTGAACTTTAAATGGGTCATAAGACTTTCAGCTGTTGAACTTGCATTCAGTAACAGTTTTTGAATGATTGCAATTTCAGTTTTATGACTTTTTTCTGTCTTCTTAAGAGTTTATAATGGTGCTCTATGGGAGCAGGTTAGCAGGCTAAAAAAAATTGTACTTCAGCTCTTGTAGCTCTCACATCTTTTACTTGTCACACACAATTTATTTCTCAAATTGTAGACAGGTTTGCGCTCTTTCAGACACTGATACTACTTAAGAAATAGGACTTTTTTTGTTTTTGGATTATCAGCCTCAGGAACAAGAGAAACCCTCAACGGCTCCATAGACTCCAATGTTAGTTCACCTCTCCCTCTCATGAGCAAAAACACAAATGTGGGCACTATTTAAACTGCGATATCTCAGTTATTTTTCTAATTATCTGCACAAATGCACATGTACATCCTCAGCAAAGTCTCCTGACACTTACTGTGAAAAACCTTCGCAATAAAAACTATAGTTTTTGAGTTGAGGCTTGTTTGGGGGGATACCTCAGTGGTGCTACTAGTAATTAACTATTAATACAAAGAATTTCTTTATTGACAGTTTTAAGGCATTTCATTTCTATGTATATCCTATCCTGTGTGTGTGTGCGTGTGTGTGCGGCGTGTATAGGTCCATTCTGGATCTGTGTGACGCTGGTGTTCTCAGTCGCGATAAGCGGGAACCTGTCCACCTTCCTCAGTGAGATGGGAAACCCTGCCTACCATTACAGACCACAGTTCCACAGAGGTCAGTCCTTCACACCGTCAGCTTCTGTGGTCAACCTCAATTCATTGTGTTACTTTTATTGAGTCCGCTTTGTTTCTGTGTCGTGCTTTTCGCTCGCAGTAACGATAGCTGCGGTAGTGATCTTCATGTATGCCTGGCTGGTGCCAATCGGTTTATGGGGTTTCCTGACCTGGCGGCAGGGGGCTGAGAGGCAGATTGGAGGCTATTCCTTCCTGGAGACAGTGTGTGTCTACGGCTACTCCCTCTTCATCTATATTCCCACCTCAGTGAGTAGATCCTTACTAATGAGTGTCAGGGTCATAATAAGATGTTTTTACACAGATAAACTATTCCAACATAAAGCACCATGTGTTTTTCTGTAAAACAAAAAAACTTTAAAATGATCGTAAATCATCCGAGCACCATGTCATCTCTCCACCTGATTTAAAGCATGATCAGAACAAGTATCTTATATATTTTGTGATCTAGAAATGCCTCTCCTCCTGTGATAGTTGTTCTCTCTCATGGTGAATGCAATAACATGAACACAATTCATTCTATAAATCCATTTATTGCCATTTTCTCTCAAATACAATGGAAATGTGATTTAAATGATTGACAACTGGAAATAAGTGATGTGACTGAAAGGCTCCAGCACTCCAAAATGTCACGAATCAACTTGGAACCTCAGTCAAATACTCATGTATTGTGACTGTTTGTCACACCACAGAAAAATGAAATCGAGTTTGATTTGTATAACACCAAATCACACACAAGGCACATTACAGAGTAAGGTCAAGACTTTACAGTATTAAAGAGAGAAACCCAACACTTCCCACATAGAGCAGCACGTGGGGGCAGATATATATATATATATGGCAGATACTATTTGCACCCAGGGTGGATAGCCAGTATGGCTATTTACACCCATGTTCTGTGCTCTCCCTGACTATTACAATGAATCACATTGGAGAAATTCTGGCAGAAAGTATTTCTAACACATGGTTAATGTTGTGAGAGGGTCTTTTTTAACTTAGACCCGCGACCTTTTCCTAAATCTAACCAAACTGCGAATGAAAACTTAATATAATAATAAAATAAAAATAAAAAACATAACTCAACTACGGGGCAACCCGACAGCTGAGAGGTTAGGGTGCATACCCTAATGCCCTGAGCAGTGAGTCCCTGGTTCCACTCCCAGCTGGTTGAACTCTTTGCTGCATGTCACTCCCCTGTTCTCTGTCCCTGCATTTCCTGTCAATCTTCACTGTCCTATCAAATAAAGATGCCCCCCAAAAACAATAAGTCATCTAATTCTAAAGATAAATAAATACCAATTTTTGATACACACAGGAGTCAAACCCCGGTTTCCTGGGGGAAAGTCGTCAACGATGACCTCCTCCCTATGTTGTCTTTGTCACTCTTTATACCGTCTCATCCGTCTTCCCAAAGCCTTTCTGCAACAACATTTAATAAGCGCTTGATGATGGCAGATGTTTAACGCCACATGGTACATGGTGCTTATTAAATGGCACATTGCAACAGTTTTTGCCATCCTGTACTCCCATTTTTCAAAGGCATTAAAAAACAAAACGCTTAGGGAGCCATTGGGTGTTCCATACTTGTGTAAATAACCGAATAGCTCCTGTGTGACTATTTTCACCCAGATGCAAATAGATGCTCCTTGTTTCAGTTGTTAAGTGTGCACCAGTCTGATTGACAGCTTTCTAACTTGCCCACACAAACTGGACCAGAGTTTGTTTTAACCCGAACCAGTCAGTGGGAAAACACCCTCAGACATGTGACCCTGTCATCCCCAGGTCCTGTGGATCATCCCATTTGAGTGGTTGCGCTGGACACTGATCCTGGTCGCCATGATGATTTCCGGCTCAGTCCTGGTCCTCACCTTCTGGCCTGTTGTCCGTGACGACACCAAGGTGATGGCTGTGGCTACAGTCGTGACCATAGTGGTTTTGCACACGCTGCTGGCAATAGGCTGTAAGGTTAGTGGCGATGAAGCCTCATATCAGTTGCGCACGGTTAACCTTGACCACATGTTTAACTTCCTCTCTTTTCTCTCAGATGTACTTCTTCCAGACAGCAATACATGTACCAACACTCATCCCTCATTCCTCAACCCCCTCCACTTACATCACACTGGCCACCAAACCCCACTGACCGAGGGAAAAGGAAGGAGAGTGGGCAGGGAAGAGGAAATGAAGGCTGTTATGTCTGGAATCACAGACCGATATATAACCATGTATAGACAAGCTGGTTGAGGCAATGTTGACTATTGCCACTGTGTGATTTGTTTCATGTTCCCTTCATGCGCTGGAATGGGTGTGTGTGGTTGTTTGTCTAATTTATCTTGAGGTTGGTTTCACTGTAACTGAAGTAGCATTTGTTCCTCTGCAATAACTGTGCATTTCTACTGTGATGTGCTGCATGTAGACTGTCTAGAATGATTTCCTTAACGCTGTGAACTCAGCAGCAAGACAGAAACTCAAGTTAAAAATAAGAAGAAATTAACAATGACTCATCATTATTTAATTAATGATTTATGATATACTAAAAAACAGTGAATACAGAGGCCATAACAATTTCTTAAAGACCAAGGTGACATCTTCAAATTATAGAATGAAATATAATTATTATATTTGATTTTAGGTGAAATTTCAACAATAAGTCAACAAGTATTGGGTGGAAACACTGGACATTTTGACTTGTTACAGGAAACAGGAAAAACACAACAAAAGAAGATGACATTAACAGTGGCTCTAATCTAATCAAGCGGTGACAGTAAGTTAGTCATCAGTCATTTTATTGCCACCTTCAAATTGTTAAACTGTCATTACAGGAAACCAAGTAGGAAAACTGTTCACTTCAGTCTCTGAGTCGGAGGTGTTGGGATTATGTGACAGCAATTGGTGAAAAGAACTGGAGAGGTGTCAGTAACCAAAGCTGGCAAAATGGCTGCAAAGCCACCACTGGCAATTACATGTAAATAAAATACAGTATTACACAGTAACATAGCCAATTCAACCAACTGAAAAGGAGCTAAATAGTGTGTTTGTATTTGGTGTCACTAGTTACAAACACAAAAAAGTAGCTAAATGCAGTGACTACAAGGCTAGCAGATGCTAACACCATATTTGTTGCAGAAAGTCAATAACCTTGATGATCCCCTGAAGTCTTGTCCACCGAGATCAAGTTACTTTAGTTTATGACCAAATACTTTCAACAGTAATGGCATTCCCATCAGCCTCTTGTGTTTAGCGCTAATTAGCCATTGTTAGCATGTGAACATGGTAAACATGCCTGCTGAACATCAGCATGTTAACATTGTTATTTTCTATTTTTGATGTTGCATGGTTTATGTTATGTTTAAGTTAGCATTAGCTAAGTTGTCTTAGTGCAGTCGCACAGAGCTCTGGTTGTAAACTCAGTCTTGTTCATTGATAAATGCTATGACAACTCATTTTCTGTCTACCTATTATTTGGTTACCTGTTTAATCCTTCCAGCACCAAGTGAAACCTTATAATTCCACCTCAATCACACATTTGAATGTCGTAAAGCTTGAAGCAACAGCTTTCAGCAAATACTGTAAAATTAAGACTTAATACTTATTTATTGTTGAAAATTCAAACACTGAATTGCGTGAGCTGCTTGTTTCAGTCACAGATGTAGGAAAGGAAGTGATTCTAGACTAGTGCAGTGTAGGACTCCTGCTGATGCACCACGTCACTCAGCCTCCTAACTTTCATTTACAAAATGACTTCAGTCGTGTTGTTTGCATAGATGATTTATTGTAAACTGAGGAAAACGTTTGTGTCTGCGTAACCCCCAATGTGATACTGTTTAGGGTGTTTTGTTAATAAACAGACTCTGTGCTGCTAATTTCTGTAACATTATTTCATCCACACTCTCAGCTATCTGTAACAACAGCTATGGCTCCATGCTGCTTCCTGTGTGAGTTCAAGCACGGCAGCCAAATCATTTATAGTTTGTTTTTTTTTAATTCCCACATTTTATAGATTGTGAAAGGCGAGGATGTATGATTTATGATACATTTAATAACTTGTTCTCTGCATGTTACAGTTGCTTTATAAAATCCTTATCAAGCTCAGTTAGCTCCAGTAAACTGCCATAGTTCTCTTAAAGTAAACGTGGGTAAGCAGGCCTGAATTAGAGCTGCCTTCGCCTTCTACCACACATATGACCGAACAATGCAGGACACATCCATGAATGAGAATGAGAGGCTGATTGTTGCTATTGTTATTTTGAGGTGAGGTCAGAGGTCGTGGAAAAAAAACAAGATGAACAAATACATTTGCACATTGTACAGAGCACTGGCGTACCGTACATATTGGATACTACATTAAAGAGCCAGAGCTCTGCTCTAATTCGAGTGGGTTTATAATGAGTGTAAAAACACCTGTGTTCACCCTGAGAGTTGTTTTCCAGCTGAATGTGAAATGTCATCTCATGAGTTTTGATGCATTTGGTTAAATCTGCTCCTGTTTATCTCGGCACTCATCATCAATAAATGCCAGTGTGCCACTTCCATTGGCAGCCATACATGTACATGCCTGAGCTGTAGCAGAAGCACCACGTATGACACATGAAGTCGCATGTGTTGGATCACGAGCTGTTCCTTATTTTAATCTGGATTCATTTTCCCTGAAGTGTTTGGCTCCATCTTGTTTTTCCATTCCTGAACTTTTTGATGGCATCGTCAGTGGAATGGTCCTCCACTTAGTTACAGACTGAAACATCTCAATATCAAATGGACAGCCATGAAATTTGCTACCTAACTTTTTCTGATCCCTGTCTTTTCTTACAGTGTCAGTCATGCAGAACTATGTTGAAAACATTACCTTCTCCACATTATCACGGTACTTCCTCACAGAGCCGCTGGCGAGGCCGTAGTCTCTTAAATCCATACTGCAGTGGAAAACCACCTGTAGTGATCATGGTTGCTGCGATCAATCATTTACGTGGATCAAAAGCTTGTGACAGAATCGTTCCTAAACAAATGCTGTTTAAATGATTTGCTTATAGTAATCAAATAGTTTGCTTAGTGTTCGTTTTGGGTCTCTTCGTACACGACAACATAAGTTGTAGCCTCCTGTGCAACCGTCATATGCTCAGTCTCTCCTTTAACTTATGGTACAAGGTTTAGGAGCCACAGTGTGTAACGGCCATCCTCGCCTGCTCTCCCAATATAAATTCATCATCCCATTATATTCGATGTGTTGACCATTCAGCCTCGGCTTGGAGCAGGAGAGGGCCACGGTACAGTTTGTTATTTTATCTTTAAATAGTGAAGATGTCCATTTGATTCTATTTTCATGTAATAAACATCAATTATATGATGATAATCTGCATGAGAAATAAAGAAAAAAGGGGGGGAAAAAATTCTGTCAATCATCTGCCTATAGTGACCAATTTTACACAGACATGATCTCTAGGAGCGGTTTGTACATAGTCAATATATGCAGTATGGATTACATACTAATCATCTGTCCTTTCCTTTGGTCCATTTTAGCATGTGTGTATGGATAGAGAACATCCACACGAAACATAATCTCACATGAGACTATAACTAGTCCCAGTCCAACTAGTCCAGTCTGTTTACTTGGATATTAGTAGTTTGCACTTGTTACTGCAGAAATAACGTCTTATAATTTAAAGCGTTACAACAGTTCACTCTGATATAAGATGTTGAGCTGAAGCTCTCAGACATACCAAAGTGCTTAGTGCCCGACATAAACTGAGTTAATTCAGGACTGAAGTTGCTACGGAGACGTCTGTGTCGTGGACAGAGGAAACACTCACCACAGTGTCGAGGAGTGACTCTGAGTCTGGAGCAGAGGAGTCGACGTCAGACAGTGAGTGAAGGTGTTATTACTGCTTCGTCAACACAGAAATAACAGAACATGACACACAGTCTGCCCATTACACGTTTCCATTAGAAAAGTGGATGTCACTACTGACTACACAGAGCAACGTTTCCATGACAGAGGGCACACGATGGTTAAAGGCGACCACATGGTAAAACATCTGCTGTGTCCACAGTCTATTTAACAAACTAGAGGGAACAAATTAAAGTACTACAACACCTGATCCAGGATGGGTTTGGAACATCTCCACCACATTTAATTTGCTCTCTTTTTTTAATTGTTGTTTTTTGTGACAGAAAAAAAAAACAAAACAAAATAAAGACAACAAAAAAGGTTAATCCTACAAAGAGACATTTTTTCTCAGCTCTTAAAATTTGCTAACTCATAAATTCCAAATAAACCGAGTCCAGTAGTTGTGACACTGGAAGCAATGCATACATGTGTCAGTCTTTCTCTCCTTGACTAATAAAAGGGGACAAGGGCGTCGGGTGTGATGGGTGGGGGTATGATATGCTGGCGGTCATATATAGTGAACAGACGAGGAGGGAGGTGGGTGGACAGGCCCGCTCTCCCACGCCTCGACGATGAAGTCTCTTTGCGACAGTCTCACAGTCTCAAAGGAGGTTGGGAGGAAAAGCGAGGGAAGGAAGCAAGGATGTGAAGTAGGACGCTGCCAGTACAGCTCAGCTTTCATCGCTCTAGCAGCCAGCGGGCTGCCGCCTGGGTTTATTGGTCCTTAACGGGTTTGTTAAATCTTCTTCCTCCAGCAGCTGGAGTAACCTGGCCGGGGAGGAGAAGCTGCGACGTCCTCTCAGCTAAAAACGAGGGCGGGTGATGGGAGCAGCAGACGGCTTGTTTCAGGTTTATAGGACTATAAGTGTTCCGAGCATGAACAAAGACAACAGGTGTCTGGGAGACTGTCCCACTGGTCATCTTCCATGGAGAGCAGGGTTTGAGCTTCTAACTCAAGGTCTCATCCTTCATTATTCACACAGCTACTACTGTGAGATTTTGTGTACAACCAGGGGACTGACGGTGTTGTGCAATTCATTGCAATGAGACTAGAAAGACACAGAGTCTGTCGGGAGACCACAGAGACAGTGGGACACAGCCACGAGGAGGCTGTGACCAGTGTGGCCATTCAGAACAGCTAAAAACACTTTTCCCTTTAAATTTCATCTTACAACACATTTGAATCATTCTGAGACCTTAACCCTACTTCCACTATTTTAGAAAATATGCTCCTTTCGGTGACTAAAAGACACATTAATTACGTTTCAGTGTGTCTACTACAGAGATATACAGAGTTAGCCGAGCTCTGTCAGACAAATCAGACAAAATATTATTTCCAGGAAGTCATTTTTTTTTTAATTGGTTGCAAGAGACGATAAAAAGTGTCACCTGGCTTTTAGTTCACTTTGGACGGTGCTCAAACCTGGCAACCCCACAACATGCATGAGGACAGGACCTTTTGAGAAGCTGCGTGCAGACCCTGCACCCAGCTGCTGCTGCTGCTGCTGAAGAAAAGACTCCCAACACAACTGCTCCGAAAAGTTTCATTTCAACGTGTTATGTATGAAGATACAAACTACGACAGCTTTGGATTTTTTGGATAGACACAGGGAGAGACCCGGTTTCCAGCTAAGCTAGGCTAACCACATCACAGGTGTGGGTGTACAAATACATTTAAAGCAGCACTAATCAATATTTTTACAGTAACTCCCTCACTTTAACTGAGTCTTGTAGCTTCTTTCATCTCATTGTTTTGATTTTCTCCTGCAGACATCAGATGATTTATCTCCTCACTAATCATGGAAGGTGACCAGCGTTCTCCCAAAACCCTGATGTAAATGTGAACCTTAGTGGAATGCATCAACACCACTGCTTTTAAGTACAACCACAGATTGGGGTGATGGGAGGAGCTTTGACCATCCTCCTCAGGTATGTAGACAGCTTCAGTTCTCTGATATATCTGCCTCTGCCTAAAAACAAACAATCTACAACGGAGCAAAGAGGGAAAATATGTTTTGTGATTTGTGTGAACTGATACTTTAAAATGAACCATTCAGTCTGGCTTGAGTCAGTCTCTTGAGAGAAGTGCGGAGAGGCTTTTGAAGATTGTGTCCGATATGAAAAGCCCAGATGGTCGCTCAGAGATGAGTGTTGATGATAATAATAGTGTCCTAGAAGTGTGGGGAATTGTGGGAACGGACTGATGCTGGTATCTGGCAATAAGTCGGTTCTTAGGGAAAAAGGGGGTTTGGGGAAACACTTTGGGGTCATCATGATGTTAAAAAAAAGAAGAGGGGTTGGAGGGATTGGGACGGTGGGAAGGTGAAAACCCAGGGAGGGGGTCGATGATAACTGCTGTGCATCTCAGCTGTGCATGTGTTGCAGTCCCGATGAATCCAAGGAGAAAAGGAAAAGGAGGTTTCATCTGTTAGCAAGACAAGAGTCTGGACGGATATGAGAGCGTTTGACTGTTCATATCGTTCATAAAGTGATGGACCGAACAGAGAAGGATGTGGGTGACGAACAAGGGGAGGAAGTGCCGGAACAGCACTGGTTTTGGTATATTGGTTTTGGCTGCGGATTGGTGGATCAGTCAGGGCTGAAGGGTGGATGGGTGGCAGACTGAGGGGGGGGCTCCACTGGGAAAGGGAGGGGTGGGGTGGGGGGGGTGGGGGGTCTCTTGTCATGCAGGGGCTGGGAGGTCGAAGAGGTCTTGGCAAAGTCCTCGTCTTAACTGCCATAATGCATGGTGTTGCTGGGGATGACCATAGGTGAGGCCATGGAGATGGCAGCGCCCCCCATGGTGAACTGGTTGGTGACGGGATAGTAAGTACCGCTGCTGCTGGGGCCCGACTGACCCGTGGTGGCTCCTGGATTTAAGGACACAGCGTTACATTCAATATTCATAGCGCATGAAGTGACTACTTGGTAAATTTCTGTTAAGCTGCACAAACTGACTTCACTGTCCGTTTCCTGTACAGGTGGACATACCCTGGACAATTCCTGTGCTCATGATGGAGCCCATCCTGGAGTGGGTGTGGTTTACAATCCCCGTGTTCACTACGACCAATCAGAGAAGAGAGCAGTTAGCGATATGTACATCACTACAACAGATTTTAGCCTGTTGCTTCCCGTTTGTTGTGTTGCCATGAGAACCCGTCACATCAACTAAGTCACTCAGAGTAGTAGTACAACCTGTAACTGATGCTAGCCAATCAGATAACAGAGAGGGAGTTGTCAGAAAAAGTGTGTTCGCTAGCTGCTGAAATTTTTCTCTTGAAAAATATTTGATACAAATACTGACAAAAATGTAAATCGCAGTTCAAATGGAAGCGCCGACAGTTTCAGTGTAGGGACTAAATAAAGCTCAAGTGTCAGTTCAAGTTCAAGCCCTGGGAGGAGCTGAAATGAAGGCAACCAACTGAGATGAAGTGTGAGCTCAAAGTGGAAAGTCCTGGAGTAAATGAATGCCATTCAAGTGAATACATACATACATACATGTATGTAGAGGACCTCCTCTCAGGTGTACAGGTGTAATTGTTTTCTGCTGACTGACTTTCTAAATGCTCTGAGGAAGACTTAATGCTGAAACACGTCAACAGATTTGTCAGCCTTTGGATTGTGAATAAATTTATCTAAAAAAAAAAAAAAAATCCATACATGGGGTGATTATTTTTGCTGTTGGTGGATCCTTTTTCTTGACTTTATCTAGCACGAACATGTTATTATGTCATCTACATACAAAACATCTAGTTAGAGAGTCAGACTTAAAATTTCATGTTCGGTCCCTAAACAATTTTAAAAAGCTCAAACTTCCACGTAACTGCCCCTTTACCATTTAACTTATATTAGCTTGTCACTTAGCATGAGTTCACGTCATGTAATTAGGCTTGGGTGAGATCCAACATTTAGTATCTTGATAACAGCAGACAGGGCAAACAGTAAAATAAATAATAAATACATTTAAAAAACAAAAAAACAAAAAAAACAAATGATACTGTTGAAAATATCCCATTTGGCAGGAAATATCACGATATTCAATATTATCAAATATCGACCAACAAGATGTGACAGCTGTCTCTTTCAGTGGTTATTCTAAAACTCATGATCCTACAGAATATGTTGTTTCAGCCTTGTGATTGGGAAAACAGCTGTCAAAGTCATTCTTCTCCATGTCATACAGCGCTGCAGAGCTCACTAGAGTCGAATATCAGCAGCGTTTCTGTGCTGTTTTCGTGTTCGCCTGCTACTTCATGCTGCACTCGCTCTCCTATTTCCTCTCCATGACATTCAGTTCCATGAGACGTAGAGGCTTTAGGAGTGTGGTTCGTACCTAGAGGGATGAGGTTGTTGTGAGACACTGCCGGGCCACTGCCAATGACTGTACTGAGGTCATAAGCTGCAGGCATCCCTGGAGGGGACAGACAGAAAACAGCGCAATAAACATTTACCCGCAAATTTTTGTAAAAACTGTGAAGAAATATGAGGCTGTTTACTGCCTTTTTAAAATACGAATGCCTCACAGCAACATTAGTCTGTAACTCAAGTCGGGCAGTGGAGGCAATATAAACACAACTATAAACAATCTTACAACACAGTTTAGTGTCAGGCTGTGTGGATTGTCTCTGTGTGTTAGTTTTCATTAAAACTTTATTTTCCTTTGCTGAGTTTATGTTGGATTTTCTGGCTCACATAAAGACATAGCTCTGTATTATGTACATAAATATTAGACATATAAGGAAAAAAAACACACAAACTCATTTGCTCAGAGCCGTTTTGGGCGACACTTCTAGGTGGAAAGAAATCTGACAGGAATTAGATATCACCCATTATGGATCCAGTAATGTCCAGACGTAACCAACACACATTAAGTACAGTTTTTTTGTTTGTTTTGTTTTAATGACACCATGCCACTTCCTAATACGGGAAATGTTTGGTGTGTAAGGTAAACAACAGCCTCACACAGGTGAAGCGGTTCAGTGTAGGTGTATAGAAGAATGTCATTACATTCAGTGAAGCCTTTTCCATTTAGACACAAAGAAGACTGAATGCAACACTGATCATAGCTGATCACAGCAGCTCAGGGCAGTAACCGTTCAACACCAGTATTCCTATCAGGGTTGGTGAAATGTAATGTGCAATTTCAGAAACTTTAGGATATTAATTAAAATGTATACAAGCCCGAAAAGGCTTGACCTTACACATAAATGAAAAATTGTTACCCATTATCCTTTCTTTATGTCATTTCCTGTCTCTTAAATTTCTGTTATGTTCAAGAGAATCCCTAACAGCTGGATATGTTTCTTCTACCAGTGTTTGTATGTGTGTTCACCTGATACAGCCATCCCCTGACTCATGCTGTAGGCTGCCCCCGTGTTCCACATATTCTCAGATGGGGAGGTGTAGTGTGAGCCAGGAGGAGGGTTGGGGGAGGTGCCTGTGTACCTGCAAATACAGACATACACATGTTCCACATTAGAGAGACAGGCAGCGATCCCCGTTTCAACACTTGAATAGCGCATTCAACATACAAGTGTGTTTACTGGGTTTCAAGAGGCCAACTCACCTGAAAAAGGGGTTCTTCAAGTCCAGGAGATTGCTGGACTTTGATCCTGTCTGGTCCACCTGGGCAACAATACTGATGTCATAGCTTTGTCTGTGGGGGAGGAGATCAACTTTGTGTTATTTGACAAATTAATATAAAATCACATACTGTGAAATGCACGCCAGCAAAAGATCCAGTGGGTTGCTGCGGGGCCTTCAGAGAGTAGTTTGTCATTTTGGGAAATACGCTTGTTTGCTGTCTTGCTGAGAGCTACAGATAAATCTCTCATGTCTGTATGCTAAATGTGAAGCTACAACCCGCAGCCCGTTAGCTTAGCTTAGCACAAAGACTCCAAACAGGACAGCAGACGGCGTGCTCTATCCAAAGCGAGCTCAGTCGTTTTCATGTCATGTTTTTGTTTAATCTGAACAAGAACCAAAATGTAAAAACAACATTGTGCTGTTACGGGAAGGGAAGTGCCAGGTAAAATAACTTCCTGGAGTCTTGTCGTCAATGTGAGGTTGCCGGGCAACCAGCAAAGACTCCAAGAAGTTACTGTGCCCGGGCCAAAAAATGGTCTGGCAGAGTGAAGCGACATTGAAGGCGTCTACATCAGATTACATAACAAATAAGAGATGACACAGAAGAGAGATATTAACATTTGAATCCTTGGAATGAAACCAAACAGCAACTAACTTAAAATATCAACAGCCAGTTATAGATTTTATTTACATTTCAGTTGAAGTTGGATGGTGGACTGACTGTGACTTTCTCTGGTGTGGTTACCATGGATATCTTTAAACTTTGAACATCCTTTAAACTTGTCAGTGGCTTTGATAAAGTGTGAAGTGCCGTGATCTGTGCTGCCGCTGTTAGGTGTATCCATGAAACAGCTGTAACTGATGAACATAAATGCTTTGTTCTGCTTCCTCTTTTTGTACAGTTTAATGTACAAAAAGATTAGATTTCTAAGCACCCATCATTTTTGTTTCCTCTTTTCTATTCCTTCTCTTTCTAAAGAAGCCGGTTAAAGTAGCAAAGTGTATTTTAGTTTAAAACATAGCAGCCATCGTCTCTTAGCAACATTCTTCTGCTCGTCTCAAGCTCAGTGACTGCTGCTGCTGTTCTATCTCGTGGCTCGTCCTCTGCTCCTGTCCCTGTCTCTCTGACTGGGCAGACTGGGAGCGAAATCATCATCATCAGTCTAACAATAACTGAAGAAAACAACCTACCAATTACATAATCAGACGGCAAGTTAAACTTGTGGGGAAAAAATTACTTCCTAATCCACGCAGGTTTGGCAGCATGTCAACAATTGCCCTGTCGAGGTTAGATTTCTTCAAGCTAATGTTGTATGCAGCCACTGAATCCAGTCCTGGAACACGCACGCAGCTCGCTCTCATGCACACCCCGAGTAACAGGTACACAGAGAAGATTACTTCATATCATATCAGTAATTTAAGCTTATACACTATATTTTTGAACCATGACCGTCAGTATTTGTTCAGTATCAACACTTTGATGACTGCCATAATTACATAAGTATCAAATAAATACAGAGCGAAATAATAAATAAAAAAAACAGTGTATTTTTTGTATTTAAATCAATTAAATAATTTTGCTAGTTAATGTCTCCTCATATCCCTTTGTTGAGGCCCCCCAATAAGGAAACACTGAAGTACACACGGCTTTCATACCTTTTGTTGGCCACCAACAGTGCAGTGCCGGACAGAGTGTCCCCAGCCTTGGTGAAGAGGGGAGACTGCAGCAGACAGCGCACCTGGTACCAGTGGGTGAGCGGCTCTGTGGGTGCCGTGGACAGCCATACTGTCATCCTGCAGGAAGAACGCAAGTCGGGTTGTGGTGTGAGGGCAAGAGAATTTTGTGGGACTAACGGAATGCATTTCTTAAGATTCAACACACTCCACGTGTGACTGGCTGACTTACACTGATCCCATGAATGCCACATCAAACCAGAAAGCGAGGCCGTGGACCAGGCCAGAGTGCATCATGTGGAACTTAAAGGGAATCTCTATCCTGCGGTCCAAAAGAGAAGGTAGGAAAGAGGCATGTTAATAACACATGATGTACACATTTAATATATTTACTCACACACACACACACACCTGTAAAGATCCTCTTCTTTGGCCTCCAGGAAGTTGACTGTGTATTTGACCGACTTGGCCATCAGAATACGGATATCAAACGTGTCCTGTGGAGAGATATTTCTGCTCATTACACAAGACTGAAGCACAACAACAAAACTCACACACAGGACTAGATCCCAACCATATAAGACCTCATTAACATACTGTACTTGCAAAAGCATCATGAAGCAAATAAATAAGAGAGGCAGCCCTGAGGTTTACATGAAGCCAAACCAAACTGCATTTCTGGGCCACAACCAGAACTCAGTCTTTACATGAGAACCAAACCACCACTCTGTTTTTTTCAGATTGGACATTTGCTATCTACAGACATTTAACTCCAGTGGGTATGTGCGGTGGAAAACGTACCACGATCGGCTGGCGGAAGTACTCGTCCACAGCTGCCCCCCGCAGGGCAGAGAGGTCTACACCGTGGAAGGAGGGCTGGTACCTAAGAGCCAGAAGATGAAACAGAAGACTGAAACAGAAACCAAACCAGCTTAATTTTTGCTGATGATGGTACATGTAAATCATAGAAACCAAGTTATTTATACATAAAGACAGGAAGTTATTTTACTTGATCAATTCCCTTTTGAAAACTACATAGCTGACTACGAGGGATGTGTCAGTATTAAACTTCCATGCAACGATATTAACGTATCACTGTATTACGATGATGAAATACTACAGCTAAAGTTGAAACACAGTAAAAACCCTTCAGATTTATCAGACAACCAAACACCAGGCAACTGGGACTGAAGCCACCAGACTTGCTCAGCTGACCAGTGGATCAATAGGAACAGTGACTTCAGTGAGATCTGCACTTAGATCTATGGGAAACACATCAGAAGCTCCAGCTGTCCCGAGCCAGTGTGAAGAGTGGTTTCTCCGGCATGCACCCCCACGAGGCTGTCGGACCGGCTCTGTTCTCACTGAGTGCACAGAACAGGAAGATGTTTTCTTCAACACCTCACTCAGTCAAGCAGAGCTGCCATCCTGCCTCAAGACCGTCACAGAGAGAAATCCATGTACTCCAAATCCTGCACAAACGACTTCCACCGCATGGCTGAAAACAAGGACTGTTATACCAGGACTGTCTGCAGCTCTGCTCTCAACACCATCAGACCATAAGAACTGGTACAGGGAATATAACGTCTCCCTCGATGTCAACAAGGCCAACTAAATGGTTATTGGCCTTTGGAGAGCCCCCCCACACACACACACACACAGCACCATGGTGCACCTGCCAGATGACCGGACAGCAATCATCATTATGGTCATGTCGCCATGGGAATTTTCAAGAAGGCTCAACAGTAACTCCACCTTGTCCGCAGCCTGAAGAAGACAAATCTCTCCACCCTGGTACTCGCCATCTTCTACAGGGGCACCATCAACAGCATCTTCCCTCATCATTACTGCCTGTTTTGGGAAGTTTCTAAACAGAAACTACACAGGACAGGGAAGACAGCTGGGAAGACCCTCTCTCACCTCCCTGCTGGACAGCTATCATCTGCGCTGCACCTGCAGAGCCTACAGCCCCCTCCTTCACCCACCACCCTCATTCTTTGAACACGTCACTTAAGGACAAATCTGTTCATATAAGTGGCATCTTGGCTCCATTTCAGTCGGAGTCGGTCCATCTGTTGCCTTTTTAATAACGTGTATCCAAATTTTTGGGGGGGTTTTAAAACACAGTGAAGGACCAGGCCCCGAAAACCTCACAAGGTTTTTAAAGGTTCAGGTTAAGGCCTCTTTCCCTCCTCACCAGAAGTTGGCCTTGGTGAACTGCTCCATGTAGAGCTGCTCGTCTGTGAAGGGGGCCAGGTGCACGTCACCGATAGTGGGGAACATTTTACCTGAAAACACACACACACACACACACACACACACACACACACACACACACACACACACACACACACACACAGGAGGCGAGTCAAAAAAAGTAGCAACTTACAACACAGAATGAGACTGACTGTGTTTTCTCATTCCTCTGTGCTTCAATCCTTCTCACCATTGGGTTTGAGGAACTTCTTGGCATGCAGGTAGCTCTCCAGCATGCGCTCATTGAACAACATGTAGCCCATTGGCTCTGAGATGATGATGTCAACCTGCTCCGGCAGCGTCACCTCCTCCACCTTCCCCGGGATGACGACCACACGCTCCCCTAAACGGTTACTGTTCACCAGCACCTGTAAGGCAGAGGACCGCTCACTGGGGCTGTAACAACTATCATCCACTGTCAATGCTGTAACAGTCATTTTTTTTGTGCTTGTATTTTTTGAAGTATTTTTAAAAAGTGTTTATCAACTCAAGTATTTTGCTTCACTTCATTTAAAGTCAAAGTCGTTACACAGTAAAAAAAAAAAAAAAAACCCAAAAAGACACACATGATGACTTTTGATTAACTGTGTGAGAACAAATAAGAGAGTCAAATCAGCAGCTGCAGCTGAGAGGAAGCCGCTAATTTGATGCACCACCCTGCAGCCACAGTAAGTGACCTAAATCAAACACCCCCCACCGGTCCCACGAGAAACCAAGGAAAAACAAATAATAAAATATATATATATAACTTATTTATTTGCACTCATTTAGTGTGACAGTTCCTGTCCTAAACAGTCACATTACTCTCCTCTCCTTTCAGTTTTCACCATGAAACCCACACACACACGCACACGCACACACGCACGCACACACGCGTGCACACACACACACACACACGCGCGCACACGCACACGCACGGAGCAGCACAGAGGAGAGCCAGGTCAACAGCTCATTATGTGAAGCGCAATAAAATCTTTCCAATAAGTTTTATAAATGCCCAATGTGTATATACCTGGCAGCCAAAAGACTTTAATTTAATAGTTTCATCATGTGTCATTATTATCACCATATAACATTCCCTTCCCCCTTTTAAAAATGTGAGGCCTCAATTATACTCCCTTGCAGACATGGACAGCTGCTGACACCATGGATGTATATTTGTTCTTATTAAACTTTTTTCTATTCCTCTCAGAGTCTGCTTGGAGGAGCACATGCGCAGCTGGTGCCCCTGTAGCACAGAGGACTCAGGTAAGTCCATGCAGACACAACAAATTGGTGGGAACCCAGACGTTGGCGCGGAGCCTTGCGAACATCCTCTGATGATGTTATTTACATCATGCAGACCCTGACTTACTGATGCTGAGGACATTTTTACACAAGTACTTTTATTTCCTGACCAAATTTCTTTTAACAACAGTACTTTTACTTGAGAAAAGTTTTCCAGTACTATGATTTTAATGATGGTTTTAATTTTGAGCTTGTGGCCACAACAGAGCAACACATCAAACATATCGGTCAGGTCACTGATATTAACAATAATTTGTGTGTGTGTATGTGTGTGTGTACCTCGGCGTGCTGTGCCATGGTGCTGGCCTCCACAGCGTAGACCTTCCTGGCTCCAGCTTGAGCTGCAAAGAAAGAGAGGATCCCCGAGCCACAACCAACATCCAGCACAACCTGGAGGACAGAGAACAGGAAACACGACGTCACCGTCAGCAACAATTACAGCTGCATGTCCACCCATATCCTGAGCAAAGCTGATGATTACAGATTTCCATTAGACAGAAGTAAACAAATACATTTCCTCTATTAATAAATAATGAAATCCAGCAAAAAAAAAACTGGGTGTTCAACAACAAGTTTAGCACCTGTTAGTATTGGGATATATAAATAATAACCTCCAATAATAATTCAATGTTCTTTTCTCATTCCAAAGAAAATAACAGCTGTAATACAAGAGAGCTTTTAAAAAATATATATGCAAATATAATATGCATTTTAAAATGAAGTGCTTCTAGAAAAATGAAATAAAAGTGTAGTTTGAGTTTCACTTTTTTGTTCACCCCACTTCACATCAACAGTCCCGACCATTTTCATTACAAACAACCGAAACACTCACTGACTCATAATGATTGGCTGAGTAGTGTCACGTAAAGGCTGGATAAGATACACTGGTTCAAATAGAAACAGTCCGTCTCAATCATTTCAATAATCTCGTCTGAATAATCTATAGGGCATAGGTCCAGGTCAGGATAGGCTGGGCGTCTGGGTCTGGACCTGGATCGCGGCCCCCCTGTCAGTGACCGCAGCATGAATGGATAGGTACCACAGTGGAAATGGTTTGGCCAAATCTCTCCCAGTGGACACATTTTTACCACTGCATGACATATACCATCATATCACCCAATCCCATTCTGTGGGTTACAAATAATAAAGTCCAATAAAAACTTCTGTATGATTCATTACATCTTACGACTCTTTAATCACAGCAGCTTTTTGCCCTTTGGTCATTTGGGAGAGCTACAAACACTTTTGTCAACACTTAGTGTGAACTACTTAATTTAAAACACGCCCCAGCCTTTATTAAACGGTGCACATATCCAGTAGTATAAGGTTACCTTGTCCTTGAAGTCGGTGTGGTTTTGGAGAATAGCCCGTTGGTAAGTCCCTGTCCGAACGTAGTCCTGCATCATGTTCTGTTGCTGGGAGAGGTAGCCATAAAACTGCAGAGAGACAAGAAAAATATTAAAATAATGATGCAATTTGTCTTTATTTATGAAGTCAATGCTGAACAAGCCAACAGTCGGGACATTAACAAATAGAAGTAAACCTGTTTTGCAGTAAAGAATGAAGTTAAGGTTTTCAAATTTGTTGTTAATAATAATTCTCAATAAAAGGAAAAACTCATCTTGGGAGATATTCTCCAACTAGGAACTGGAACTAAACTGGCAAATAAAACAGCAGCTAAGGAAAAACAGGAAGTCCTCTGTAGACCAGATTGTCTCATTTCGGTTTGGCCTTTGTGATCTATGCGGGTTTCAGAGGCCATGCCTTCCTCCGTCCGCTGAAAGATGTGGCCACTGAAATGCGTCACAGCAAGTATTTTCTTAGCAGTGGTGTTCAAGCTTATGCACCACAACAGTTAGCATTTCAACTAACCAACATTTCCATGTACAGCTAAGTTTTTTTTATTGACCTGTGTGCTCCAACTGAATAGCTTATTAGCTATGTGGGCTGTAAAATGATGAGGTGCTTTGTCTCTGTTGGGAGCTTGTTCAGCAGGTCACGGTGCAAGACAAGATGTGTCCATCCTTTTGGAGAAGCAGGAGACATCAGCAAGAAAGCTACTGCGTGTTGTGTTCAAAGTCTTTTTTGTGCTGTGTGGCAGGCTGCTGTCTGACAGCCAGTGATAAAACAGTTAAGTTATTGCTTTATGCAAATACAGTTGAAAATTAAAATGACCAAACAAGGAAGTTCTGTCTACTCAGTCAGAGGAACACCACATGTCTACACAGGCAGGTCTCACCTGGAAGTACTGTACAGCAGAGGACTCCTCTGTTCTGTCACTGAAGACTGAGCGCTCACCAAGATGCCCACGACAGTTCTTCAGGAGATTATAAAAGGACTGAAAGTCTGAAGCACAACACACACATGAAACATTACAGGTCACACTGTGGATACATTACACTGAAGACAATAATATATACACACAGTGGAGTGAGAATAGGACAGTTTTGTGTTTTCATTGTTTTGGGCCACTCACTCACATTGGATTTGAAATGAAACAATGAATGTGAAGTTGACATGCTGACTTCCTTAAAACATATTCATATATTGAAAATGAGCATATTGGCTCAACAGTGTATCGTCACAGATCTACCCATACAATATCAAATTGAACCTCCCTTATTTTGTGGCCGTCAGTTCATGTAAATATGTTTATAACATGTTTAGAATATGTCATTAGCTCCAACAGATTATTTGTAAAAAATAAATAAATAAATAAATAAAGTTATTACTAAATACAGCAGCACATTTTAGCCATTTTGGAGGTTTTGGATCATTTTGGCACAAAAGAATGCTTGACTACTGTGCTTACTAATCACCCAGTAGAACCTTAGTATTTTTTACACATCAACGTGAAGTTTGGTGCAATTACAGACATTAAGTGTAGAAAACAGGAAATGTCAAATGTAAGAAGTTTTATCATTTATAGTTTCGTAGAGTCAATGTGTGATTTTATTTAATAGTTTTTTTTTTTGTTGTCCTATATTTTCACTGAGCTCCATCAAGTAATTTTTTCTTATACATTTAATGGTGTCAGTGTCTTCTTCCATTTAAAGGCATTAGCCATGGCTCTGTGATGTTTACATGACAAGTTATTACATTCATTAAAATTGAGTTGTGTAGAAATGGGCCACAAACAGCTGCTGCACAAAGTGGTTAAACCTGCACATGCTGGCTACATACATGATACCGTGCTCAAAGACTGACACTAAAGCTAACAGCTAAAATCTGTATCCTCTCCGGTTTGAGATCCATGTTGAACTCCTTCACCACGCCAAAGAGCTAGTTGAGTCTTAGTGCTGTAAGTTGGAAAAATGGGAAAAAATGACTTATTTCATTCTAAAATAACTAGCTAGTACAGCTTAGTACAAACAAGACAGATGTTAGATTTATGCTTTGTGCTTTGTACTTTTAGTTGGGATTTTCAAAATGTATTTCTTACTTTTGACATGACAAGAGAAAGTCTGTTAGGATGAGGACTAAGCAATGTGTTTGCCAAGCCTAACATTATGTGAAGTAACGCCGTTGGAGCAGAAACTTCCCCACACCCATTACTGAGCGTGACAGAGCTGTTAAAGTTAACGTTATCCTAAACCCAGGTGAGATCCAGGAGCAGCAGGGGAACGCAGCACTGCTGATGTGCTGCTGATGGACAAGGCTTATCCTACAAGTAACCTGTAACCTGACAAGCTAGTGTTCAGTAGTTAATGACGTGACAGTTACCACTGTAGGTAATAAGCTACTTAGCCAGACATGCTTCAGATTACAGCTCATGTTGGAGCAGGTAAACACACTGTTTAATCCATTCCTGACTGTTTTTGCTCCTGTGTTTTTGGTTGTGGAAAGACTCCTGGAGACTCGTGGAGAAATCTCAAGCCGACAGGCCGGCCTGGCTAGTGACAATTACTAAGCAATGATTGGAAAATTATTATTCAGGTGAATCATTGGAAAAAGGGCGTATGTCAGGGTGAGACTCATTAAACCTGCTCCACACTACGTGGAGCGTGTGCCAAGTGTGTGGGAAACACATGCTCGCTGCTTACACAGACTTTTCAACGCTGGCCCACTCTGAGGTTATAAGCAAAACCAATATGGTGCTGGAGCAGCGTATTTACAAGTGTGCACTAAAGAGGAACACATGTCTGTAGTTACCTACATTCTTCACTAATGGACGGATTATTATTCTTTCAGTTTTCAAATGCATGTTCACTTACACAGGAAATAGTTGCATATTTAAAATATTTTCTGCAGACATTAGAGGTGTGGAACTAATTCTTGATCATGCATTTTGTTGTGTGTGTTACTTATGAACCGTGTGTGACAGTGTTATTGTATTGGGGCATTTCCTGTGTACCTGCAGGTGAGGAGAACTGCAGCAGGACGCTGTTGCAGCCCAGTGTGATGATGAACGACTGCTTCCCCACGCGGCTGCACTCCGTCTCCCTGGAAACCGAACACTTGAACACACTCGCCTCCTCTCCTGGAACGAAATGGAGGGGATGGAGAGAGTTAGGACAGCATGAGACATACTTGCATTTCCAAAACAACTGTGTGATGCATATGGCTGTAACTTTACTTTTTTTTCTTTTTTTTTTTTGGGTGGGTGGGTGGGGGGGTGAACTGATTTAAAAATTCTCATTTTCGGTTTTAATGTGTCTTAATTTTTTCTGCATTTTGCACAACAGGCAAGGAGACCGTTTTCTTGCTGCTGATCACACATTTAACATTTAACACAGCCAGCTCCTGTGTGGGAGAGCTGAACACAATGCTGCCTCAGCCTCTTTATCTCCTTCCACTGCTCACACATATTGACTCACACTTAGTGAAATTCTGTCTTTTTTAAAAGCTTGAAAAAATGGCAAATGAACAGGAATCCATATGCAATCACCAGACTCTCATTCTCATCATATTCTACATAGGTCTAGGTGAGATTATCCCACACCTACTGATGATACCAGTGTCATCCCCGCTACAGGATTTACATTTATATTTGCATACATTTACATTACAAGGCTAAATGCATTTAGCATAGAAGGATACAGCTGGTGTTCTTCTAGATTTTTGTTAGTGTCGATAAATCCCATGAAAAGTGCAAAACCAGTAATGCTAGTCAGGTTCAGTCATTTCCTCAAACAGCTGTACACTGTGGTTTTTAGCATATGTTTCTCAAAGAGGATGAAACAGAAGTGTTTCTCCCATATGTATGTGCTACTGCTGAATTATCACACACGTCATTATTCATGACAAAATGTTACCACCACAACTTCTGCTTACTACGATGTGCACAGCTGACCAGGGTTAGTATGAAATGAAGGAGACCCTACCACATACCCACAGGCACAGTGATGCAGTTCAACAGAGGCTGTCACCAGTGAGCTGCAGCATCTGGTTCGTTCACTCAGGTGACTCAACATATACAGCTCTCTGAACAGAAGGCTTTTCTCAGCTAACTGCTTCAGCAAAGAGTAGAACTATAACATAAGTACCAGAATTGAGTTAAAGAAAGGGTGGAGTTTGATAGATCAAACATAGCGTGAGCGAGCCCAGCCCGGCGCGTGCACGCGCTTACACGCACACACACAGAGGACAGTCAAAAACTGTTTCTTTTTTGTTTGCCAGTGTGTGTGTGTTTGTGAGAGACGAGCCGAGTTGAGCTGCTCTACAATGAAGCAACGGTGTAAAACACTGTTTCAATTATCTTTTATGTTGTTATGAGAAGTGTAAAAATATTTCTACACTCAAGTTAGACAACAGGTATGTGAGGGGCAAAGTAAGGGGGATCATTGGCGATAAACAGTGTAACCGAAGGGATACGTTGGAAAGAAAAAATCCATACCGTCACCCAGAATCTTAAAGGAAAGTTCCCAACATCTTGTGGAACCAATGCCACAAAGAGCTGAGGCTGTTTTGGGAGCAAAGGGAGGAACTACCCAGTATTAGTGTGGTGTTCCTAATAAAGTGCTCAGTGAGTATTTTAAAGCCAAGGTATCAGTAGCCTACTGACCTTGGCACAGCTTATTTTCCAACAGCTACTTGCTCCCAATACAGAAAATGCTAATTCAGAACTAAAAAGTTGTTTTACTTAATATGACATGAATGAAACTTTAACTGGGAGATTCTGACTGTGGAAATTGATGAGACGTGATCAGCTGAAAGTTTTTCCAGAGAAGACTCCTCACTCGTGCTGGCAAAAAATTAACAAACTAATCTTTTCAACTGGCACTTTCACGAGTTTGATACCCATGGGGTCTGTGTACTGCCTCCGGGAAAGTAACCATATACAAGGACTCTGATGTGCAACATGGCACAAGCTTTTGTCTGCTCTGTTTTTATAGACAGTGCATTCATAAAGTCTTCACACCTCTTCACTTTTTGTTATGTTGCAGCCTCATGCTAAAATCCTTTCAATTCATTTTTCCCTCATCAATCTTCACTCAAAACCTCACGATCACAAAACTTTAGGATCTTTTGCAAATTTATCAAAAACACTTGCTATGACTCTTTACATTTAGTTCAGGTGCCTCCCATTTCTCTTAATCATCTTTGAGATGGTTGTACAGCTTGATTGGAGTCCATCTGTGGTAGATTCAGTTGATTGGACTTAATTTGGAAAGGAACACACCCGTCTATAGAAGGTCGCACAGCTGACAATGTATATCAGAGCAAAAAGCAAGCAATGAGGAGGGAGAAGGAAGGAGACAGGGTTGCTGAGCGCCAGAGATCCTGTGTGGACAAGAGAGAACGTCTCAGAAGGACCACCATACCTGCACCTAAAGGACTCAGACTGTGAGAAACAAGATCCTCTGGTCTGATGAAACCAATGTTGAACTGTTTGACCTCAATTCTAAGTGTTATGTCTGGGGGTGAAGGGGAAACTGAACAAAGATATACTTAGTGAAATCCTGATTGCTCAGGCCATCTGAAGGGACCCAAAGTTCACCTTCCAACAGGACAATGACCCTAAGCACAGTCAACACAGGAGCGGCTTAGGGACAACTCTGTGAATGTCCTCGAGTGGTGCAGCCAGAGCACTGAAAATGTCTGTCCACGGACGGTCCCCATCCAACCTGACAGAGCTGGAGAGGATCTGCAGAGTAGAACGGCAGGAAAACCCCAAATCCTGGTGTCCAGAACCAAAGTTTGCCACGTCTTACCCAAGAAGACTTGAGTCTGTAATTGCTGCCAAAGGTGCTTCAACCAAGTCCTGAGTAAAGGGTCTGAAAACTTATGTCAATGTGAGATTTCCATTTTTTATTTTTTTAATAAATTTGTTTTCACCTTGTCATTAAATGAAAGAAGTGAAGGGGTGTGAATACTTTCTGGGTGCACTGTATTACCACATCGGCTGTGGCTAATACCAGCTATCATATAAAACCTGCAGCCGTGTACACGTCAAGTACATACGAATTGCATTTGTAAAAGATGATTCCTCATATTGAAATTTGATACATCAATTCATAACTCTATAAAATGAAACAACATGACAATTTACTAGATTTACTTCTTGCTGCATTTAAAAGAATGTCTATTTTTGTACCCGCTGCAAAACTGCAGTCTGTAAGGAATAGGGTGAGGGAGCTTCAGGACACACCAGGTTCATTCACGTACCAGAGTCAGACAGTAGACTCAGTGCCTGTAAGCCTGTGGATACTATTCCTGCCTGCCTGCCTGCAGACTATTTGCTGCAGTTTGGTCAATAGGAATCTTTAAGTGCAGTTGATTTAAATACTTTTATTGTCTCCAGGTTTCTAATTTTGGTTGCTTTCATGAAACAACATGCATACAATATATATTTGTTATTGTAAAAAATGATACACACATAGCATCACTTCTTTATTTCAGAAGTCAGCTTCATCTGGACTACAGGTGAAACCTTTGAGAGAAAAATGAATCATGTTTTGTTGTTTTACTTTCACTGGATAATTGCATATCATGTTGGTGTGTCCTGCACTCTCGTGGCCTGAAGCCTGAGGTGTGCAACACCCAATACTCAATAACAATACATTTAGGACGTGCAGGCCTATTAAAAACCAAGGAAAAATAACACTCGTACAAAGTCCGGACACGGCTGCTCACTCTCACACTCTAAATTAAGTCATGGAATTAATATTAGTTAGTGACAGCTGATATGAGCTGCTGTTTGCCATTTTAACCAGCAACAGCAACAATCAGTGCCACCTAAAAGTGGGAAGCCGCTACCTGAATGTTTTGCACACTGAGCTTCATTAATAAGAGCCATTTGCACTCATGCACCCAAACAATTTGTCTCAGCATTCACACATTATAAAAGCTTGCACTGTGGAGCTCTGAGCTCATTCTTTTCTAACTCTACGCCCCCAGATTTTATTTTATTTTTTTACTTTCCAAACTTTTACTCTTCAGACCCGACCGCTGCCATCTCCAGTGACATCTTTGAGGCAGTTTGTCAGTCTTCACACAGCTCCCTCTGGGGATGTGAGAGGCTTTACACGAGGTTTTTCACTCCTGCAGTAGTACTCCACAACACGTGGAAATAAGACTTTGATGTGTAAAAATCAGAGGAGTTCCCCTGTAATGCAAATAAGTTGTGTAATATATTTAGAGGCTTTCTAGATTTTCATGTCAACATAATTTCCAACAGCATACCAATAGAGAATTAAAGACAACCTTTACATACACTCTTTGATGTGGTTTCAAGATTATTATTTTTTTTAAGTTTTCTAAAGCATTTCCTGTCTAGACATTATGCTGTATTTGTGTGCCCATTTTCTTAATTATTTTTTCTGCTTTATTTCAATTTTCCCAAGGCCTAAAAAATCCCACAGAGAGAACTTAAAACTTTCTTTTAATTTGTGCAGCAAGAGATGTGTGTGGGGGTGTCTACACTAAAACCTGATGCAGAACTGCTACAATAAAGCCCTTTTTTATGTGCGCTTTTGTTTAACTTGAGCATCACGGCAGAGGAGGCCAGCGGCGCGACTGTTTCTTTTCAGCGGGACATCCCACCGAGTAACAAAAGCTGCGAAGGGAGCGCAGCGGCTCTGATCCTGCGTCCACACGGGAGGGAAGAAGGCGCGGGGAAGCGTCTATTGTTCCGATGAGAACAAAGATGAATGCATAAGTAATGAGGGCCCGGTCTCACTACGCCACCCAAAATGCATACACCGTTTTCCCCTCCAAAAAAGTAAAAGCGTGAAAAGTTTATGCGTTTACCGCTCTAAGACGCAACGTGCTGCCGGCTAAATACAGTGTTATAGCAGCGGCAGCCGCCTGGACCACAGCGCACAGCGGCGAGCCGGGACGGATGCCATCTGCTCTCGGCTCCAAAACAATCCACATAAGCTAATTCACAAGCTAAACAGCTAAATAACATCACAATGGTCTCTTGGAGGCAAACGGAATCGGATCACTCAACAAAAACCACATTTATGAGACAAAATAAACGTTAGTGAACCCTCAAGGGCAAAAGATGTTAGATGTGAGCGGGTCTCATGCACGTTAGCGCATCACTGCTGAAGCCAGGCTAGTGGCATTGTTTAACTAGCATTAAACTACATATTACTTAGCTGCCCTGCTCACTGATGTGACTAACTAAGCTACACTGAATGTGTTGCGCTACACTTCTATCGAGGTCTCCAAGGCGGAGAACATGTGTGGGAGCTGGGAGCCTGAAGTTAACAAGCCCAGAAACCCCAACGGACAACGGGAAATTTTGAGTTTTATGGGCTCCCTCGTGACGAGCAGGGGGAGGCGACGTGGTCTCTCAAGATGGGTTAGCTTCTTGGTGGCTAGCGCTACGTATGGCCAGATTAGCCGTATAAGCATTAGCACTGCATAGCTTTAGCACTGGCAGTTAAGCCAGGCCGACCAACCCGATGAGCAGCTACAGAAAAGGTCAACTCACCATTGGAGAGATTGATGAGGGCAGCATCTTGTGAGGTTTTGACTTCTAACCGCAGGGGTTGCTGCTCTGAGTGTCGCTGTATGTCTCCATTCGCGTCTCCAATGGAGAGGAGCCGCACGCCGGGGAACACCGAGACCGCCATCTTCGATCTGGAAGTCGAGACAGGTCGGTGACGCTCACATCCAACCAAGCACTGCTCTCTGCTGGAGGCAGACTGGGCATCAACATGATTAGCCGCCCCAACAGCGCCACCTGGAGGCTTATAGCGGGTATTGTGTAAACACAGGCAGCGTACGTCATGACTTCACAGCATAGACTGCTTCACACAACCCCAGAGCTCTCAAAGATTTTCATTTTACAAAGTTTCTTTCCTCCTTTTTCAATGTTTAATTTTTTGAATTAGATGAAATGGATAACGTTTTGAATAATAACGCGTTCAATTTTTTATTTTTATTTTTATTTTTTTACAAATTTCAGATATTTCCCCCATTACATTTTGATTAATTCCTGGTTTTTTCCAATGTTGTGAGCGTCACAAATGAAATTCACCTTCATTTTATCTGGATGAAACCAAAACTATGTGTATATGATACAGCAATATCAGTCATTCAAAAACAAGTTACTTATTGAATTTGAGAATATCTTAGTATTTGGTTTGTCCACCTTCTGCTTTGATGACAGCATGCACTCAAGCTGCATCGACTCCACAAGTTTTTGCAAAACTTGATGACCTGTGTTATCTCTGCATGATCTGACAATGTCCCTACTTGTGATGTGTCAGACTGCTTGGCTTTCTCAGTCTTGTAGTGCCCCCATTAATGTTCAATGGGGTTGAGGTCAGGTGACTGTGGAGGAAAGTCCATGACAGTCAGGACTCGTCGGTCATGGTCTTCTTTAGTGTTCGTGTACTTTTTGTAAAGCTTTGAGGTGTGTTTGGGGTCATTGTTCTGCTCCTGTATGAATCCTTCTCTACAAAGATGCAACCCAGAGAGAGGGTGGATCGTGTCTGAAGAATGGAGTGGCACTTCTATTTGGTCAGGGTGGAGTCAGTTCAGTGTGGGTGTCCAACTCCAGAGCAGGTACAAACACTGCGGCATCGTGCTCTCTCCTGTTTGTTTCCTTCAATACACCCTACTATTTCTGCCATAAATGGAGTCACCAGTAAATAGGACTTTTTCCAGTTGTCTACTGTGAAACGCTGGTATTTCTCAGTCCACCCAAAGCATTTGGCCTTGAAGTGATTTAGAAACTGCTACTCGTCCTCTCAGACCACTATAGGACAGCCTTCTTTTGACTGTACTTTGCTGACTGGGGTCTTGCGCTCTTTATTTAGCAAATTCTGTGTCTGTGATTAAGTTCATTTTCTATCTCTCTTGATGTATTGATCTTCTTATGGTGTGTGTTTGCACTGGGACGCCCATTACCACGTCCTCCACCTCCAGTTCTGCCTCTCCCTAACCCTTTCCCAATCCTGGCTCCAGCTTCTCTCCCTCTCTCTCTCTGTGGGTACGTATGTATGTGTGTTGTGATTGTCTGCAGGTGAGCCGGAGCCGGAGTCAGAGCAGAGCTGCACCCAGCTCTATAATCAAACCTCTGAATACTCAGCTCTGCCACTTCCATCCTGCCAGGTCGTACACTCTGCTACAGTCAGTGTAGCAACATTTCTAGCTACTCTTTTGTACGAGTTTTTTTGTTATCGAGTGTTCTGTCCTCTTTGTTGTTCCCTGAACGAATCCTGCTATCCATCTGCCATACAGTTCAGCTCTGCCTCGGACTCCAGCTGCTGTTTTCCAGCCTTACCTCACCAAGCCTGCTCCCCTCTAGTTCTCTGCTCCAGGCTCCCAGTCACCAGCTCAAACTGCCTGTGAACCTGCAGTAAATTTCTTTTACTTCTTCCCAGTCTCGTGGTCTCCGCTTGCACTTGGGTTCACCTGTTCAGGCGCCTTTGACAGTCACTATTGTTCTGCCTTACTGTCTGATCCAGGTTCTGCAAAGCGTTTGAGCTCCACTCACTGCCCCCTTAGAAACCTTTAGTCCAGCCATGATTTGACAGTAAGATAGTCACTCTTTTAGTTTTGATACCACTTTTTTCCACTATCACAATGCTACTTTATGAGCAATGATCTGCTGGAAACTTCAGGCACAGCCTTATTTATAACAGGTGGACGCAAGCTGCAAGTGGAGTTACATGAATGAGTCTCTGATGAGCAGCTCAACTCGTCCCAGAGTGTCTGAACTCATTCTTCAATGAAAATCTGACACTTTTTGTGTACAGGTGTAGCGATTCTCCAAATCATACCTCTTTTTTTCTACTCCATCATGGATTGGACCAACACATGCAGTTGGAAGACAATAAAGGAGTTACATAATATACAACTTGCCCTAATTGCAGTTAGGATAATACGTTTGTCACGTGTTATAGTGTTAATTGTGACATGAAAATGAGTTTACTACATTAGTACTAATGAGACTAGTTAATGAGAGCTCAGGATGCCCCAGATGATATATTTCTGAATCCTCAAACTTTCTGATAAATACAGAGAAAGAGACGGATGTATGGAGGGAAACTGCAGTGATGAAGATCCATTCCTCCAAAAGATATTCCCTCGTTTCGTGTTTTGATGAGAAGAGCGCTGTCGAACACATCAGGTGTTAATGGCATCACGCTGTAAATGATGTTCCTTGTAAAGCATTATGTTGTATTATGTCTAAAACAGGCATCTAAATTTTCCGTTGTCTGCTATTCAGCTTCTGGTCTGAACTCCATGATATGTGTGTCCTTATTTCACCAGAAAGTCAGAAACACAAGTGTCACTTTAACCCAGTGTAGTTGGTATTTGTTAAAAACAAAAATGCAAGATGCAGCTTCAGTCATAGATGACAAAAACAAACAGATGGCAAGTTTTAATGGTGAATAATAAAATTGCACAGAGGTTGAGAGAGACGGTTTCAGCTGTATGAACTGGACCACATGTTCACACTGTAAGCAACAAAATCAGCATCAACTTATAACAGTGTATCAGGCCTGTTGTATAAAGCCAGCATAGTAAAGACCCCCGAACCCTGCTAAAGACTGAAAAATGAAACCAGTAGCTTTTATTATTAATGCACAGACATTCTACCACATTAAATACAATGCATTACTACATTTTTCAGCTGAAATTGTCAGCATCATTCCGTAGCTGCCCCAGTGTGTGTGTGTGTGTGTGTGTACGTGTGTGCGTGTGTTTGTGTGGTCTTGACTTCTTCATCCTCAGAGGCAGTGGGGCACATGACAGAAGTGGTTTGCACTCCTTCACACTCCTACAAAAACAAGAAATAAATGTTGCTTTGAGGGCTGTGTCTCGTGCTCTAAAACACAGCATGTTCATTGTTCAGCAGCTGAGAGAGGTACAGTAGACAAAGTATCAGAGCAGCAGAAAAAGAAAATAATTTTTGAATATATATATATATATATATATATATAAAATAAAATAAATAAAGTCAATTCAGGCAAAGAGAAAAGGAACACTCACACCTCAGAGAAGGACACATGACTTGGGAGGCCTGAAAGGGTTGTCACTGGAGGGCACCCCGGTGAGGAGAGGGTCTTTGTGGGCATTTTGCAAACAGAAGGTCTTCAGTTCTGCAGCAGCCTGAGAAACCTGAATAATATCCAGTATATCAGGATATTGTTAAGGATATTATTATATTAAAATATTATTTAATAGAGCCTGATAATGCCTAGTTGTTTATGTGAACATGTTTTTATATTCATATGAAAATGTGTCAGCAGATTTCTAATGCATTAGGAAACAACATTTTAAAGGTCCACTCCCTGATTTCATCACAGTGTCCACAAATTCCCGTATTTTATCCATTATTATTTTTTAAAAACATCTACAACTAACGGAGAGAAATTTGTGGGCACTATTGGCACACTTTAACAAACTGGGTGTGTTGCCAAAATATTAAATAACTCTGATGATTGGTGTTTAGTGGTCAAGGGCTTGTATAAAGAAAGACTATCAAGTTGTATTATGGGAAGTGTAGGATCCAGTGTTTTTGACACTTCATGAAAGTAAAATTGCAAACCACTTAGTTAATTTTACACATGGAGTTCAGTTTAGTTCAGTAGCACTACTGAGCCTGTGGAAGCAGTTGACTTGGAGGAGAAAAAAAATGATAGGAGTCTGTGTTACACACTGAGGGCAAACTGTTGAAAGTCACATGGTATTTATCAGGCAGGAGGGGGCTAATGAAAAGATGCTATAGAGTTGAATTATAGGAAGTGTAGGATCCCGTAAGTGTTTGTTATTAGGGAATAAAAGTCAGGATGTCTCAGCCTCTACTGCTTCCTTTTTTGAAGATTGATTTTTAAATCTGTGTTTCACGAGTTCCCCAACTTGAAAGAACAAAGTGTGAAAAGGGTTAGTGGTTAGTTAGTAGTTGAAAACGCTGTGAATCTCTGTGGAGACAACAAAACATTTGACTTCAGCAAGTTGTGTTAAGTTGTGTTTTATTGTTTATGAATTTAACTTTGAATTTATCTCGATTTTTAATTTTTGAATCAAGTGTTGAATATGTACCTTGAATGATAGTCTTTTGTCAAGTCAAGAAGAAATAACCATCTCACGTTATATTTATAAATCTCTGCTGTTAAAGCTTCCAAACCTCTTCACATCTCTACTCTCCTTTAAATCCACAGAACACCATCCAGTAACTATTTAACCCTCGACATCCCTCATGTTCACACTAATATTAGCAGAACTGGTTTCAGGTACTTTGCACCTTTTAAATAAAATTAACTGCAAACTGCCCTCAAACTAGAGTCTTACATTTCCCAAGGAAATTTTTATTATTTGATGTATTTTATGAGTATTGTAATGTTTTTGTTAATTCCTTGTTTCTCAGCTTCTTGTATTGTATAGTTCTGTTGTCTTTGTTGTTGATTGTCTCTCGTTCTCAGGTCTCTCTGGGAAAAAGAGATTTTCATCTCAATGAGACTGCCTGAGTAGATAAAAACTTTTCATTTGTAAAAAGGAAAATGATGTGATCTCTTCTTATACATGGTTGCTTTAAGGTTGTGTCAATAGTATCACAGCAATATATAACAAAGACATAATATGAAAATGTGATGTTTGCTGCTGTAAATATACCCTTGCTTCACACCATAGTAATCAACTGAAACTTCATTGTGTATGATTTTTTTCATCTTGTAAATTCAAGTCATTCCAGTCTATAGTGGTCGTTTAAAGGCACTAGTGTTCGGACTGGAACTAATTGCAATAATCTGTAGACTGGGTGAAATTCATCTGTGATTTATTTATTATGGGAGCTCCTCCCCTACAGCTCACTGCTGGGCTGGTTAACACACACACACACAGACACACACACAGACACACACACACACACACACACGTTGTCTGACTTATGGTCTATATTAAGTAACCGCCTAACAATCACACCAGTCACACAGCAGCACAATCAACAAAGCTATCACTGTGCTGCACCAGCAGAGAAAAGTCTGTTTGCTACCATTTCATTGCACAGCAGGAAATATGTGAAGTGTATAGTAGTTTAAATAAGAGACTGTTCAAGTTTGTAGTAACAGACAACACAGTAGGCAGCTGCTTTTAACAGGAACAGAGAGGGTAACATTTCCTATATGTTACATTTATTCTACCCAGTCACAGAGGCACTGTAAAACCATTGACTATATATTTTAGACCTATTGAAATTACATTAAATCTTCTTGTTACATGGCAGATGAATAAAAAATAAGAAAATAAAAACTTACATTCAAACCTATTTAGAAGGCTCCATAAGGATATACTGTCTCCTCGACTAAAACTACTTATTGTTCCACCGTAATGAGCTTTGAATTGACTGCAAACATATAGAATGTGAAACTTTCAGCTGTAATTAACAGTGATTGACGGACTAATTAGTTGCAGCGCGCTCCACATTACAAGTCACACCGCGCCTCAGAGCGGGAGTGGAGCGCAGGAGAGTTAGATGATAAGTTTAATGGAGGTGTTGTGTTCACGTACCTTTATCCTGTGGACACTGGCCTCCAGACGAAGCTGCTTCACCGACTTCTGGGCGAGAGCTAAACTGCTGTTGGCGGCACTGTTGTTTGACATGACTGGGACACAATATCAGAGAAAGTGATCAAGCAGTCAGTTACACTAATCGTTCACCCCTAGTCTCTAATAAAAACTTATCTTCCGGTCAAAACTTTCAAAATAAAAAGCCTATTCACTCACTCTTTCTTAGTCCCCCCACCCACACCGACACACGCACTACATTAGAGGATATTGTAAATCGTTTATTTACAGTCTCGTTGTCGGTTAAATCGACTTTTGTGATTATCGATTTAAAATTTGAATTCAATACATGTACATATATTGAATTTTCTTTTATGAAATATAGGCTATCTACACATAAAATAAAAAAAACATATATGAAACCTATTAGAGATTGAAACAATTTCATATATTGGCATATAGCCCATGTCTAGCCCATACAAATAGACGTGAAAAAAGAAAAACATATGTGGATATAGAATTTGTATATGTAGTCTATGCTGTTTTGATAAACTTGTAAAACTTGCATATATAAATGAAATGTTAAATATACATTGGTATCACATATGCTTGCAACGTGTTATACCATATAAAAAATCATCACATTTAATATATGTACCTATACACATTTTACTACTATGGGTATTTCATACATGGTATACATTTATAGCTTCATATATCCAGAGGATATGTGTTTGTGTGTGTGTGTGTGTGTGTGTGTGTGTGTGTGTGTGTGTGTGTGTGTGTGTGTGTGTGTGTGTGTGATAATAATATATCCCTTTATAGGTGACAACATCCCTCTTGAGGAACATATATGTCATATAGGCTATTGCATCTCTGTATGGGTGATACCTCCTTATAATGGTGGCGGATGCATTTGAATCCTTTATTTGAGTAAAAGTTTGCCACACTGGAATATAAGAATATCACTTAAAGTGCTCATTCAGAACAGTGCTCACAATGCAGAAATGCTGAATTTCTACACTAAACTGTTATTTTTGTTCTTGTGTAACCCAGTACTGTGTTTGAACTGAGCCCTGTGTTTTAATATAATAATAATCTATTATAATCATATATTTCTGTCAAGCTTTCAAATCTATATAGGCTACAGTGGCAAGAAAAAGTAATGGAACCCTTTGGAATTGCCTCAATTTATGTATAAATCTGTCCTAAAATATGGTCAGCTCTTCATCCAAGTTACAATTATGAATAAATACAATCTGTTTAAACAAGAACAAACAAATTGTGTTGTTCTTGTTTATATTGAAAACATCATTCAAACATTCATAGTATAGGTTGGAAACAGTATATGAAAGCAGATTGGAGTTGTGGGTTCGATACTCTTTGGCATAGAAAAACCACCCACACATTTTGAGTTTGCTATTTACAAGAAACTGCTGATGTGAACCATGCCTCAGAAGACTTACGATCAAGAATTGCTGATGTGCATAAAGCTGAAAGGGTCACAGAGTCATATCAAACAGTTTAGATATTCATCAATCCACAGTCCAGTTAAGATGACTCCATAACCTAAGAATGCTCAGTAACATAAAAAAGAACTTCAGACTAACAGCTAAAGGCTTAAAGAAAGCATTGGAGCTGGTTAACATCTCTGTTCATGAGTCTGCCATAGTCAAATCATGGTGCATGGTCGTGTGGAGTCCTGCCATGGACACCCCAGAAGTAGCTGCTGCTCTCCAAAAACCACCACTGTGCCCCTGAAGTTTGCCAAAGAGCAGCTTGATACTCCGTAGCACTTGGAGAATGTCTTATGGACTGATGAAACTAAGGTAGAAGAAAATAGGAACTCAGGAAGAACATGCAGCACATATTTAAGGTGCAAAGGGCACCGCATACCAATGTGAAAACATCATCTTGAAAAACATGGCTGAGCTGAACCAGTTCTGTAGGAAGAATGAATGTTGTGCAGATCTGATCTGCAGCTACTGGAAGTAGTTTACGTGCTTATCAGTGATCAAACCTGATCATTGATAAACAAGTAAGCTATCCAAGGAAGCCAATCCTATCCAAGGGTTCACTTACTTTTTCCACCAGGAGTGTGAATGTCTACTGACCGTCTTCAATAAAGACAAGAAAGATTCAAATTACTTGTGTGATATTAGTTTGAGGACACTATGTTTGTCTACATTTGTGACTTAGATGAAGATTAAATCACATCTTATCAAAGCAGAAAATTATGTAAGGGTTCACATACTTTTTCTGACCACTGTCACTGCGTTTTGTCTGTGCTGTCCATATATTATATATATATATATATATATACAGTATATATATATATAGGCCTACATTTATTTATTTTCAGGATTAGGATAGGCTCCTCTATACTCCTGCTGCTGTAGCTGCTCCGTCTCCATGGCTACGGTCGCTCCTTCTGACACTATGCTGTGTTGTCTATATGCACATTGTAAAAATATCAACACAAGCACCTCACAGACAGCGGCATGTTGTTTCCTGGGCTTTTAATGTGTCCCCTGAACATCTCAGTACAACATGCTTAAGTGATAGTAAATGAATCATTTTTTAAATAATCAAAAGCCATTTACATGCAATAAATAAATAAATATAACAAAAAAAAAATTAAACATATGTACAGAAATAAATGGACAAATAAACGTGAAAATAAAAAATGCTTAATATTATTTATTTACATTTGGTTATTTGTCTTTATTGTTACACATTTTTATTCACTTATTCATTCTTTTATGTATTCCTCTTCATATTTTTACATTCATTTTTTTATTATTCTTTTACATATTTATTCTTCTTTATGGCACTCTTATTATTCCATATAGGAGAAGCATCAGACACAATCCAACAAGAGTAGCAATTTTTTTTAATACCTATTTTTTTAATGTAATATTTTACATATATTTTAGGGAAACGGTTCTAATTGCCTGGCGATAACCTGCGTATCTTTATATTAATGACATGCTGTAGAATGCAGTAATTAACGGGGAAATTGATATTAGATGCAAACAGCACCTCAACCTTTAGATAGATGGCACTAATGAAATAAACCGGAAAACCAAGCGCCTTAAAGAGGCGGTTCAAAGGTCAAACTGAAACTGTTTCCGGAGTAGCTGGGGGTCACACAGAGGGGGAGTGAAGAGATTCCAAAATGCTGTTACGTGTGAGTACATCCAGCAGTGAACCCTCATGTCATGTCACACTGTAACATTTATTTTACATTTTATTTTATTGTGTCTAGTGTTGTTGTCGCTGCTCGCGGTGTTGACCGTGTTAGCTAGCGGCTTGTGTAATGTTGCTTCATGACATCACCTCTAACACTGTCAGCTCCACACTGTAGCTGCTACTCATCATCTCTGCTACAGAGACATTGAGTGTAGGGATTCTCACAAAAAGCAGCGGACAGAGCCTGTCCAAAAATAAATTCGTGCTCGTTTTTATTTATTGACGTTTTTTTCGGTGACATAACAGCGGATGACAGCCATGTTTCTAGGTTTAGCTACCTTGTGTACATGACGGCCACAGAGAGCATTGCAAGAGTTTAGGGATTTAACTGCTTAAATTTGTCACTAAAAGTAAACTGGAGAAGGCATTTGGATTGCTGGCTAGTAGAAAAGCAGAAGCAAACCTGAATTGCTGTAAAAGCTGTAAATAGCTGGAGGCTAAATTGCGTGCATTGGAGTATTTATTTTGAATGTTGTGAACATTAGCCTTACAGCAATCTCATGTTATATTTTGGGTCTTTTATTTAGGAATCCTGCTCCAGAGAGACTCCCAGTAACCACCAGTTACAATCTGGAGGCTTTTACTTTGAAAATCAGTCCTATCCCAGAGCTCTTTGGTAGACCTGGTAAAGTTTCAAGGACTCAAAAGAGTTTAGACAATATTTTCAGTTAAAATAGTTGTAAATTCACCTAATGTTGTGTATAGATACAGTATGTATGAGAAAGGGGGCTGCTAATGTCTGCTGTTGATGCAGATGTGAATTAAAAGACACCATCTCATGTGGTAGAGACCAGACCATAATGACTGAAGGCCCAATAATCCGAGGCATCAAATCTCTTGTTTAAGTGGGAGTCAGTGATGAGAAGTAAATACAAGAGTGATGTGATTAAACCTTTTTGATTTTAATTTATTTACTCTGGCTGCAGCATTAAGAGTGAGCTGGACTTTGTCAGTCCAGCAAAAAGTGCATTACAGTAATCCAGTCTACTAGAAATAAGAGCATGAACCAGCTGTGGTGATAACAGTTTAACTGCAATATTGAAGCCATGTGATGCCTACTGCTCATTAACCATACATTTTAATTTTTTTTTTTTAAATATATGAATGTTTTTGCCAGTGAAAATTACTCCTTGGACACTCCGATTAACTGAATTTAAAACTTTCAGCCAACCTTTCAGTCCCTTAACACTTCAGCTATTTTCACCTCTTACAGGTTTCCTGACACTGGAGTCATGGCAATGATTTAAATTATCCATGAAACACTTTAATATTACTCTCCTTTCAGAGCACACACTTCTACTGACGCCTCAAGACCTTTCAGTAAGCTTCAGGTCATAAACAAACTTACAAGCCACCTGCAGTTTCTCTGCCTGACAGTGTTTGAACTTCAGCTTATAGTGACACTTCTTCATTTGTCTTACATGGAAAATATGCTCCAGTTATTAAGTGAAACTTAAATAAAGTTTGAAAACAAAGAAAGAAACTATAGTTTTTTTTCTTTGTGTCTGTCTTTCAGAGGGTGTTGCACATCGGAGGGCTGACACTGAAACACAGTAGGACCATCCACCACAGTCCTGTATGGAGGAGTCCTCTCATACCTATAGTTGTGGAGCAGACGGTGAGTGAAATGACTTTAACTGCTCAGCTGTGTTCAAAGCTGCCACGTCTGTTAATTGCTGTTGCTGGAAAAGGTGCTAAATGTTGCTAAATGGCATAATATGTTAATTAGCATGATGTCATTGCGTGATATTTGTATTCTGCTAAATGTCAGCTGGTTTCAGTCCATTCAAAATGATCTCCATTAATATCCTCATATCCCCACAGTAACTCACTGTTAATTGTTTTGAACTTACAGCAGGTTAGTCAGGAACATTTTCCCTCCAATAATTCCTCTGTATCATAACAACATCATAAACTACCGTCTTCATCTCTTCTCAGGCTTTTGTATGTGCAGATTTGAGATAGATTTGACAAGGAAAGATGCTCTGGTACATAAGAAACAAATAGTTTCACATTTTTTGTTCTCTGCAAGATAATAATCTACTGTTCCACTGCTAGCTTTTAAATTCTCACGAGTCAAAACATCCTTGATCGCACCAACAGAAAAAGTTTCTGTCTTAAGAACAGTCTCTAGTGTGTTGCTTACTGTTTAAAGGAAATTTAAAGTCTCTGCAAGATGGTTTATTTTACTGAAGTGAGCTGGAGACAGTGGCTTGGAGAGTGGGGTCCAAATAAATAAAGTTGTTTTGTTGGTTTATTTAAGAAACAAATGTACCTATTTTCTTTTCCAGGGGAGAGGAGAACGAGCGTATGACATCTACTCCCGCCTCCTGAGGGAGAGGATCATCTGTGTGATGGGTCCTGTAAGTGTTCTCAGGAGTGTTGAGATTGATCAAGAGTAAACTGCAGATTTTAAAATTTTAAAATTTCTTCTTTCTCTCTCCTTCTGCTCAGATTGATGACTCTGTTGCCAGTCTGGTTATTGCCCAGCTGCTCTTCCTACAGTCAGAAAGCAACAACAAACCCATCCACATGTACATCAACAGTCCTGGTAAGAGCATCAATAAAGACACAAGCAGACAGGAGCGTTCAGAGAAGACGTCTGGAGTTGTTAAGCTCCAACACTTCACTTTGCAGTTTCTTTCTCAAGTCCATGTGCGTTACTGAGGAAAAAAGTGTTTATCAGCTTTTAGGATTGGGGCAATGGACAAATACATAAAAGCATCCTGAAAATGAGACAAATAATAGAAAGTGTAGAACACAAATGTAAACACAGATTTTTTTATTTCTATAAAAGATTAGTTTAAGTTTACTGGTTAGAGTCTGATCTGCCTCCTCTTCAAAGCACTTTGTGTTGATAACAAATGTTTTGCATTGCCCCTAAACCTTTATACAAAACGTTTCAGTTTTGATTCGGATTGTACAGTTTTAACTTCAGTTATTTGTCTCATTGTAAAGATTTTTTTTTTTTTTTTTATATAAATTATTGATGTCTGTGTCTTTTGATTTGATTCCCCTTTTTGATTGGTTGTTAATTTGGTGCCTGCAAAATATAGTTAAGAAAAAATTAACTATTTAGGTAAAACATTCACTTTCCAAGTGTCCAATTCCCTTTTTCACTTTCCTTTTTCTTTTCAATATTTAATCATGGCCTGATCATCCTGAGTATTACAGTACAATAATAGTCAATTTGCCCTTTTCTCTTTTGATTTAGATTCTGAGTAAAATAATCCGAATATGAGCCTCTCTCGTCGTTCCTCTCCCCTCCCAGGTGGTGTCGTGACAGCAGGTCTGGCCATTTACGACACCATGCAGTACATCCTTAATCCCATCTCCACCTGGTGTGTTGGCCAGGCGGCCAGCATGGGCAGCTTGCTCCTGGCAGCGGGAACGACGGGGATGAGGCATTCGCTGCCCAACGCCCGCATCATGGTTCACCAGCCTTCGGGAGGCGCCAGGGTAAGGGCTGGTCTCCCTGGGTCCATTGATACTAATCTGAAATCAATCTTTAAAGGGGATTATTTCACTGAAACAGGGAATTAATGTTCATAGTGTTGCTGTGTGTCCAGGGTCAGGCCACAGATATCGCCATCCAGGCCGAGGAGATCCTGAAACTGAAGAGACAGATCAACAACATCTATGCCAAACACACGGGGCAGCCGCTGGAGACCATTGGTAGGTTTTCTCAACTGTTTATCTTTAGCCTCCTTTGTGTGGTCTGACGGAGAGACATGCGGCGTCAAGGACATGACAACAACATCACCTTTTCCTGCACAGTTTCAGTCACGAATGGTCCAGCGCAGGCAGAATAGCACCACTAGGATACGACAACACTACATGCAGCTGTGACTCTGGCACAAGTAAGGAATGGGATGTTTAGTTTCCCCATTCCTGGCACGTCCCTGGAACTGATCAGGAGTCAGTCTTCGTCAAGCACCTTTCAGCTGACGAGATGATTTACAGTCCAGTTCTGAAAAAGTGATGTGGCGTTGAAGTATAAAAGTCAAACAGGTAAATCCTTAAACCTGCAGTGCAGAACCTCTGACAGTGAGAGTAATTACACAAACGCTGTTGAATACAAATATTTTACAAACACCCACCTGTCCAGGAGCAGTAAGGCGACATCTGTATCTGCCCTCCGTCGCTCTTCTTCACTTCTTTCGCTGCTCTCCAGCGAGGAAAAGCCGTACCGGTGTTACTCTGTGGTCGTCCTCACCGTCGCAGACTTTCTTTTGTATGTAGAGCATCAGAAAGTTTTCCTGGATGCCTCCAAGCTTTTTCCATCATAGGCTCCTCTATACTCCTGCTGCTGTAGCTGCTCCGTCTCCATGGCTACGGTCACTCCTTCTGACACTATGCTGTGTTGTCTATCTGTACATTGTAAAAATATCAACACAAGCATCTCACAGACAGCGGCATGTTGTTTCCTGGGCTTTTAATGTGTCCCCTGAACATCTCAGTACAACATGCTTAAGGTTCCTACCCATGCATTTCATCTAGGAACCTTCAGCATGTTGTACTGGGATTATCAGGGGACACTTAATAAACATCTGAGAAATAATGCTGTCTGTCCGGTGCTTAATCGAGCCTCCAGTTCGCTTACAATGTTCATACAGAAGGAGGTTTAAAACTCTGGTACACTACTGAATATAGAGAGCTTTACCAGAGTCCTAGAGGCTTAATCAGTATTGTGTGAACTTTTGGTCGCAAACTATCGATTTAACAAAGAGTCAAATGATTATATGTCATCTTGAAAGGAGACGCTCATCATGACAAAGCCAAAGAGAAGCGTCCCACAACTCTGCAGTTAGCTGTTTTTAGGTTTAGAAACTAGCTGGTGAACAGAGCATTTACAACTTACTGAGCCAGATATTTAAAACAGAACTAGAAGGAGAGAAAAGACTGGATTTAAATTCATCAGACTGCACTACGTAGGTAAATGTTTGCCAGTACGTTCAGCTAAACAAAGCTGATAATAAGTCAGCGTTGTGTTTACAACTAGCTGAATGGAATTAAAAATGTGTGTTTTATGTTTTCCATGTGACGTGTGATCCCATCTCCAGCTGGTGTTTGGTTAAAAGTCACTTAATGGTACAGAAACCTGGTCTGTATACCATGTAGGTGTGGCGTGCATTAGAGGCGGGAATGGAACTGTCATGAATGTTCTTCATTTCTTTCCTCTTTTCCTTCGTCTTTTAGAGAGTGTGATGGAAAGGGATCGCTACATGAGTCCCATGGAGGCGCAGGACTTCGGTCTCATAGACCGGGTCCTGGTCCATCCTCCCCAGGCCGGCCAGGATGAGCCTGAGCTGGTGCAGAAAGAGCCACCAGCAGCAACCAGTTCCTCCCCACCCCAAGAGTCTCCAGGTCCTGAGCAGCCATCCACAGGGACAAATCCCCCCTCCTCATACAAACCTGAGCCATGAACCCACCACGACAGAGCTGTCTGAGTTCTCCGTGCACTTCTTCAGGATTCAGTGCCTGACAGTTCCTGAGAGCGGGGCCCATCCTCCATGGTGGATTTCTCTTGTCTTAAGTAGCTTCTTCCTTCCCCCTACAGTAACACTATGCAGTCTACACATGTGCAGGCAACATACTGGCTTCATGCACTGTGACATATCTTAACATGAAGTGAAGTCATTGTGGGTTACAGCTCTGTTTTTAATTATTTGTCAGATGTCGATACCTGTGGTCTATGAGATTGGTGTTTCAGTTGAGTTGATCTGACACGGTGGAAGCTGAAGGAGAAACTCGACACACGTTCACTGGGGGAAGGGGAAGCAATGTTAAGACTACGGAGCCATCTTGGTCTGTACCTCCTTACTGCAGAGATGTCCACTGAAGAGTGCAGAGGGCCTTGTATGACTTGTATTTGAATATTCATATTTGTAATAATAAATTTAATTTTGACCACAATACACAAAACACGGACGGCTTGTTTTTACTCCACGATAGTGATTCATCCTAACAGTGTAAACGGACATTTTACTGATTCATATAGTAATATTAGTGATATATACATATAGTGATATTTCTAGTCTCATCGACCATTTAAAGCGCTTTATTCCACAAGCCACGTTTACACATTCATAGTGGGGTTTTTTTTTTTTTCTACACCACACATGCTGGTGTTACATTGGGGTCAATTTGGGGTTCACTGTGAACGTTAGCGCCGACACCCGTTGTCTGCGTTTACGCATGAAGAATGAAGTCTGTGAAATGATCGAATGCTTATGTGAACATGTGTACAGAGAGCCCAAAACTGCATATAAACCTCAGCGCTCAAACATCAAATGCTCAAGTTACAAGTATTGAAGTATGACCTCGTTTTTACACCTGAATCTGATTGGGCAATGACAGAGTCCAATCAGAGGGCAGGTGGTTCTGTTACCTCCATCTCCACCGCAGGTCCGATCGGGTCCTGAGAGATGTAATGTGCTCATCAATGGGCTCATCTGCGACCCAGGTGAGTTTCCATACGTTCACAGCATATCGTAATATTTACCATTGTTTTCTACAGCATCATGAATCACGAATGAACACGCCTGAGTCGACCCGTCCTCCATCTCGAAAATGTACTACACTTCAGGAAACTGAAACATCTGCTTGTCTTATATAGTCATGTGGCAGCATGAGCTCAGTGTGGCCTAGAATGTGAACAAATAAAGACTGCATCCTTTTTTTTTTTGGAACACATTTTTAAAAGACATTTGTTTGGCAATAAAGGTCAAATTTCTAATTTATTTACAGTATTTAATGAAAAACTATTAAAATACAGACAATAACAAATGTGAAAAAAGAAAAAAAACAAACAAACTGACAGATTCACAATGAGGTCGTCAAAACCCTTCCACTGTTCTCACCACCTAAAGATTTCAGTGCAAGAAGATAAAAGTAAGCTGACAGAAATTCCTAGAAATTTAGATATCTGAGCCCGTGCAGTTTTATCAATTTAAAAAAAAAAAAAAAAAAACTTTTTTCTCCAATCTGGGCCAAAACACACGAGCTCAGAAAGGAAGCAACTTAAAACCAGTGATTAAAGGTAGGAATTTTTCTATTGAAGAGAAAATACAGGTCATAATATTTTCTAAAAACACTGTAAATTACAAAATTACAAATCGGTTGCAAAATGAAAAGTGTGAAAATGGAATGGAAAAAATGGACAAAACAAGTATATTAATATATACAAGCAAACACACACACACACACACACACACACACACACACACCCCTTAAAAAAAGAATGCTTAATCCTGTTTCTATATTAACTTCCAACATTCACTCATGCATAAAGTATAAAAAAGCTCCACTATCTACACACACACACACACACACAGCTTGTCATCACATGAGCGAGCAGCTGCTCTTGGGTGACGTGGTCCAGCGCAGCCAGCCCAGCTTTTCGTCGCTGTACGGAGGGTAACGCAGGCCGTTGAGCCTCTCCAGAGCCCAGCCGCGCAGCATGCAGGCCCGCTGGTGGCTGAACGTCTCGAAGCCCCAGCGGCCGTGGTAACTGCCCCAACCACTGGCCCCTGGACGACACAGTGAAAACCAGAATACCAGTCAAAAAACACAGATAAGGAGAGGCAAACTATAATCTCTGTGTCAGTGAGGGAATATTCTCCGACATGATCAAACGGACTCAGCATAATAACAAGCCAATGTTAAAGACCCCCTCCTATGAAAATCCAGTGTTTAACCCTGTTAACATATTACTATGACAGCCGGGGTTTCATATGTCACAGACCTAAGGAACCAATCCTGTCAACTTGTGAGGACAGGGGGCGGGGCTAAATAAACCTGAAACCTTGTCAGCACAGAGAGCCACAAACAACATAAACAAATAAAAGATGCTAACTGCGCTAACTGTTCTGGTCCGTCTGCTAGTCTCTGGTTCTGGTCTCAACAGACTCCTCATCTGAGTCTGGGTCTGACTGAGGCTCAAACATGTTTCCTCCTCTACCCATCTTGATGCTCTGCTCTTTTACCTGTACACCTGGAGCCAGCAGGTGGTGGGCGGGGCACAAGGCCTGATCCAGATTTCTCAATCAGGAAGTAAGAGTAGAGGAGCTTCAGACCCAGTTTTAAAATTTAGATTTTTTTGAAAACCATGTTAAACACAATATTAATCATAGTAGAGGATTTTTACACTCTGAAACTGAACCAGTGATCACATGAGTGGGAGATCAGAGACACACCTACCTACACCTCCAAAAGGCAGGCTTGGCAGGGTCATGTGGACGATCCCATCATTGGAGCAGAATCCTCCGCTGCTGGTCTTCTCCAGCACCGTGTTGACCACCTCCAAACACGAGAGACAATTCGATAAAATTACAAGATAAAAATATAAGACGATATGTCTGTAGTTGCGAGGCGGGAGTTAGCAGAGTTGTGTGTTCTTACAGAGGATTCATCAGAGAAAACATAGACAGCCAAAGCTTTCTCTTTACGGTTGATGAAGTCGATGCCTTCCTCCAGAGACTCCACTGTTAGGATGGGCAGGATGGGGCCGAAAATCTCCTCCTCCATCAGGGCGTCGTCTTCAGACACGTCCACCAGCACTGTGGGAGCTGAGGAGAACACAGGACCAGAAGCCTTTACGGTGTGTGTGTGTGTGTGTGTGTGTGTGTGTGTGTGTGTGTGTGTGTGTGTGTGTGTGTGTGTGTGTATCAACACATCAAGAAATTATCTACATTCAGACACAATGTGGATGATGCAGAAACTTTGCTTTATGGAATTATGAAATTTTATCTCTGAACGCCCCCAAATTCTTCATTTAGGAGAAAAAAAAAATACCAGCAATTATTCATTTATTAGTTTATTCTACATTAATGCATAAACCCAGATGTTTATTTATCGCAACAACAGAGACTTGGAAAGAGTTTCCATTCTCTGCCTCCCTACATGTTCTTTAGAAATCTATGTCATTTAATACAAAATCAAAAACGCCACCAAATTGCACCTATTTTAAAGCTGGACTAGACAGTTTTCACACTTTGTCAGAACATTAGTATCCAGACGTCGCTGGGCTCTTGCTCTCTTACTGTTTCTGAGCACTGACTCAAACCTGATATAAACAACTGAAATTTAAGATCATACAGGTCAGTACAAGATTCTACCGTTCAGGACCTCGTTTCCCCCAAACGCATCTTCACGCTAAAATGATCACAGACGCCATCTTATGAACCTTCTTAAACATAATAAGTGTTTCCCTAAACAATTGTAACTGAAGACGCTCGAATCAGGAACCTGCAGGAGGAACCAGAAACTACATGATTTATAAAAGTATTTAAATCGCTTTAGTTCATTTTTAAATCTTTACTTTCATCATGACCACTAATGTTATTTAAGAGACATTTGATGTAAAATGAGTGCTAATGTTTCAATTCCAAAATTAAGAAAACACACACACTAACTGATCAACAACTGTCCTGTGTAACTGATGTCACAGTTTCTATCTTCATCCCCCTCTCCCTCTTCTCACCTAAAGTATTCGTCTCCTCTGACTGAAATGACACTTTCCTGATGTTATCAGGTTGCACGGTTACATCCTGCAGCTTTATGAAGATCACTGATCGCTATGAAAACAATCATTTACCTGTTTTTCCACTCGGCTCCCCTGAGGGGAAATACCCGGTATATACTCAGAGTATCTTATCAGTATCTTGTAATCTTATCTCTGAAATCAAGGATGTTAAACTGGCACGAGCACGTTGCTGCTCCTCCTCTCGTCATTTGTGGGTAAACTATGTTAGCCATGTTGCTCGTTAAGAGTTAAGCTTTAATAACAGGTTACCTTCGGGAGTTTTTGTATGAACGCTGGACTTTCTCTGTTGTACTGTGAGACACTGTGTAGAACAGAGTATCACCTACCTATGTATTTCTCCTCCTGGTCGCTCTCTCCTCCCAGAACAACTTTACCACTGGACTTCTTGAGCAGTTCCATCAGACGCATCCAGTGCCGGGGTGACACGATGCGGGACAGGTCGGGACACGTCTTGGGCTCCTTGCTGTAGAAACCCTCCAGGGCTTCCCGCAGTGCCGGCAGCAGGGCGTCCCGCGTGGCCAGCGAGCACAGAACGTAGTCCGGAGCCACGCAGCTCTGGCCCGCGTTGAAGAACTTAGCCCACGCCAAGCGGCGAGCAGCAGCTGCGATGTTCACCCGACCATATATGAAGCACGGACACTTCCCGCCCAGCTCCAAGGTCACTGGGGTCAAGTGGACCGAAGCCGCCTGCAGGATGCTGCGAGCCACGGTCTGAGAACCTGAAAGAGAAGTGAAAGGTCAATGTCCAAAGAGAGGATGAGATTCTGTCTCTGTTGAGCATGAACTACGTTTCTACATTTCATGACAACACAGCTGCTAGAAAAGATGATTATTACTTTACTGTCAGACGCTAATTTTACATTATTAAGTAACCTGCTTATTTGAAGATTCAGTGTTCCACATCAAGGAAACAAAAACAAAAAACATTTTTCTACCTTGGAAACATCGCTATAGTACAGTCATTTATACAATCAAAAAGATGCTGAAAAACAAGGCTTTATTTCAAGCCGACTGGATTATTGTAATTCCACTTTTTACTGGCCTCCAAATAAAAAAATTAAAAAAAACACCACCACCACCACAATGAATCAGACGTCAGCTCATTAAAACTCTGCAGCTCGGCTATTAACCAGAACCAGGAGGAGAGAGCACTTTAGTCAGTTTTAGCTTCCTGTCACATTTAGTATTGATTCTAAAGCTCCTCCTCTTTAGATACAAAGCCCTTAATGGGCGAGGACCAAGCTATATTGCTAACTCCCTGATCAACTACAAATCTGTTGATAGCAGAGTGATGCTTTGGATCTTAGCATGTATTTGTTGTGTTCTTATCCAAGACAAATTGCTGACGTTGTGGTCTTGAGACCAGTTTTAAAAGACAACACTGACATGCAGTAAGCGGATCCATCCCGGAGGTTTTTACCTGTGTAGAAGATGTGGTCAAAGCGATTCTGCAGAAGAGCCTTGGTCTCCTCCGCTCCACCACTAACAACTGCATAACAGTCCTGTCAAATTAAGAGTCCCACTTTAATTAGTGTCAGATGCACTGTGTCAAGCTCACACATACTCAAAAGAGCTGTATCCTATTGGTGTATACATCGGCCAATGATTAAGAGGAAACTGCAGATCAGACAAGTCAAAGATATGTTTTAGAAACAGTTTGTCCATCACGTCGTTCATCCACCTGAAGGCAAACAAGCTCGTCTTTCAACTGTAAAATGAGTCATGTCATGTCTCATTTAATATATTGGTCACCACTGAAGTCCATATAACACGTTGCACAACTCTTCTCCAGTACTTCTCACCTCTCTTTATTTTTGAGATTATGAGATTGATGATTGATCGATCACAGGTTCATGTTTTTAGCCTTCTATTATTGTTGAAAAATAACAACACAACACAACTGGCCACACAACACTGACTTTGTAGATTTAACAGAAGAAAAAAAAAAAAAAAAAAACACACATTCAAAAACATCTCGGGAACAAAAGAAAACCTGAGACGATGCTTTACCTGAGACAGGTACTTGGGGATGAGTTCTGCTATCAGACTGTCTGTGGCAGCACTGACCTCTGAAGGCTTGACCACTATACAGTTTCCTAGTTGGAGACATCAACATAAACAACAACCAGTAAAGACTTCAGTGACATTAGTAAATTGCACATTGTTTCTAACAGTGTTTAGAGGCCACATTTATCTTGTAAAGCCTCAAACCTCAGCCACATTTACTGAGACCGCTGCATTATAAAGTCAGAAATGCTGCTGTTATCTACTGGCTTCATGTAACGTTGTGTTATTGCTGTGAGTTAATGACCTTGAATCTTGACATCTAACACATGAGTCAGCTACAGACCAGCCTTCATCATGTGAGGACCTGCCTTTAAATTGTAAGTTTGAGAAAAAGAGCTTGTGAATGCAAAGCAAAACGTAAGAATTCAATTTACTAATAAATATTTAATGTGTTAACACTGGATCACATGATCACATGACAGGTCGCTCAAGTATCACCTGGATCTGCTGCTCCCCTCAGTTCTGTGCAGCTTTACAGCGTCTTTTAGCTCATTGTTTTGGTTTTAGTGGCTGTGCTGGTTTCCAGTAGCAACAGCATGAACCGGTTTAAATTTTCAGGGTGGGAGTTTGTGGGACAGAAAACCAAAACAAAAAGCTAGTGAGGCTAAAATGCTCCATGGACCTGAAGGGAACTGGTGATGATTTAATGTTGCCATTTGATTTATTGTAAAATTTAAAAAAAAAAAAAAAAAAAAAATTGATTATTGCAGTTTGAACAGCTCAGATGTGGATGTGAACGATACCTGCTGCAATAGCCGCAACCATAGGTAGGATAAGGAGTTGCAGGGGGTAATTCCAGGCCCCGATGATTAACACAACTCCTAACGGCTCCCTCTTTACAAAACAGTCATCTAGTTTTGTGGCCTGAAAATGGACAAAAAAAAAACTATAAAGCAAAACACACATTTTGAAAATATAGCACATAAACATACAATATGTGAACACCATTTCTGTCATCCATTTTAAATGCAAAGGTTTCCTTTTATTTAAAACTTTAAAAAGAGCAACTTAAAGGGGTACTCCACTGATTTTACACATGAAGTGTCCGCAATACTAAATGTACGGTGGCCCTGAGAGTTCAAACTACTGCAACTTAAGAAAACACACGTAAACAGACAAAACACAAACAAATTCAGAAAACATCTTCGATTTGACAACGCATACTCACAACACAAACAAATACACAAACACACTGCAAATACTCACTAAACGACGGTGTTTCCAGGGGGACACTAAAAAGTGATGAACCCGGCTGGGACACACTTGTTGTTCATACTTTGTGACTTTTGAAGTTAAAAGCATTGAACTACAAGTACGTAAGTATTATAATTCATCCATGCAAGTGTGTCCCAGTTAGGTCCATCACTTGTTTGTGTCGCCTGGAAAACACTTCCATTGTGTTGTGAGTATTTGCAGCACGTGTGTTGTCAAACTGATGAAGATATTTGGAGAAGTTGTTTGTGTTTTCTTAAGTTGCAGTGCGTTGAGCTCTCAGGGCCACCGTATAAATCACTGGAATACCCCTTTAACTCCAGCTGAATTTTTTTTTTTTTTCCTTCTGGTCTCCAGTGGTTTAACGTCTCGACTCGCTGCAGTGATGTCGAAATGTAGCACTGGGTGTGTCAGTACTTGGTGACGTCACATTTGAGTCGGTGCTGGGTTTGGTCAAAAGTAAAAACAAACTTCTCAGCCTGGTGCTTAGTCATCCTTTAACTTTGTAAACTGAAAACCTTTGGCAATGTGTAATGGTAATCACACAAGATGATATCAAGACATCATTTAATTATGGTATACAATAAAAATGATAAAGCCTTATAATGTAAGTATATGAAATGTATGTTTTGATAAATCATTGTTAAACCTACCAGGTTTTTGCTGACATACTCTGGCTGCATCCAGCTTTTGAAGTTAGCGATGGCATGGTGCAACTCATTGATCACAATGTCAACCTCAGACAGGATGGCCTCAAACTTTGGCTGATGTACCAAGAAAGAGAAAATAGTTAGTGCTTATTGAATTGAGCAGAAAAATAGGTATATTATATGCTGTGCTTCAAACAGTGAGTGTGTGCTTTAGATAGAAATATTAACTGGCTAAAAGTACAGTTAATATTTGTACATATTGTTTAATGTGTGAATTTCTCACAAATGTGTAGCAGGGTTGTTACAGGCTTTAAAAATACTGAACTGCAAAGGAACAGCTGTGCAAAACAAAACTTTGAGGAAGTAGTGTGTGTGTGTGTGTACACGACACGTGAACACAGTCTTGTACCTTGGCGAGGTCTTTGTGCAATGCATTTAAAATCTGTTCCTCGTTGTCTTTGAGCATGGACATCAGCTTGGTCAGCTGTGTTCGACGAAACTGCTCTGGTATTGTGACACCTGAACGAAACGATGACCGCAGCCTGTCAACTACCTGACTATGGGTTTCCATTCTTTCACCTGGAACACACACAGGCAGATTCAAATAAGCTGAAATGGAGAAAAGCAAGACAAAAAAAATATCACATTTGAGAGGATGTAACAGACAAATGCTTGTTTAAAAAAAAAAAAATTCAGTGTTGATCTGTCATTTCAGCAATTCAGCATTTGGTGTCAACCATTAATTGTTTGTGTATAAGAAGTGTACTTTTTAAGTATTCCTCTGTATAATTTCCAAGCATACCCGGTTATTTGCAACCCCGTGGAATTGAGTTATAGCTCCATGAACTGAGGGGCCTGTTCATTAGCTGTGGAGCTGTTCAAGAAGTGAAATGATCCACGAAGACGCCAGAGTGAGCCTTCAAAACCCAGGAAAAACTAATGGGTTTCTAGGGGGTGCCTCAAGCAATTTCGCAATATTTCGCCGCGGAGAGGAAACATTTGTAAAAATTCTGTAAGACGAATTTACTACAACACTTTAACAATTCACCAGATGTCTTCAAGTGTATGGCTGTTCTCATTCACTTTAGCGGGAAAGCAAAAAACACATAAACTGTGATATTTGTCAATGGAGTTTGGCACACCACTGTCTGACCGTGACAGTGATATTCATCGAATTAGTGTTACTTGCAGCTACTGTTAAAAAGCCATAGAGAATAGCGGTAAAGAGTTAGTTTTACGCTTCAAAATGAACTGACATATTATGTTTAATAATAATCATAATAAAAGAAGTACAGTCAGTTACAGCTTGTGTAACACAAAGCTGTGATTACCTGAGGAAAGTAGCAGGTTAGTGTGAGAGCAAATCTTTCCCCTTTTCCCTGGAATTTAAGGAATTTTCTATTTCTAAAAAAACTTACTATGATATCCATCCACGGGAATTAGTGTTTGTCAAATACATAAATTTAAATCCAGAAGAAATAGTGTAATGTTTAGCGTTGACTACCTGTTAATCTGAGTTTTGTCTCTCAAACCGCACAGCTTCGCAACCCCCGTGCCGATGAGATAATGACTGGTGGGAGCTCTTCTGTTTCCGGGTGTTGTCCCTTTTCTAACTACCGGTTCGCCTTGGACGCCCATCGAAACAGGGAGGTGGAGCCGCTTTAGTCGATCTTGAAAAACTAGCAGTACAACTTGTCAGGCGGGAGAGCAATGACCTTGTGTGTTCAGCGTGGAGCTCCATGTGCAAACTGTCACCCATTTATTCAGTGCACCGTACAGCTGCCGTTGCAGCCCCCGTCTGCCTGGTTTACTGCGGCCTGTCTAGCTATTCAAACTCTGACCTCTCCCATCTACATGGCTGCAGCACTACAGCTCACTGCGTGTTTCTGAGTGTGCTCCAGAGGGCTGATGATTGGCTGATTGAATAATTGCATGAGGTGTATTCATCATGCTGTCAGCCATTGAGGGAGGTGGTGTACTCCCTGTTGTCTGAGCATAGGGCATCACATAATAACAACTACAAAGCTGAAGCTTGTACAAAGTGTTATGAAGTGTTAAAAATGTGATGTGACGTGTTTTTACTTCAGTAACAGGGTAGAACAGCCTGCAGGAAACAGACATGTCCTCGTTCTCTTGAGTCTTCGAAACACTTTCACCCTCTCAACTTTTGTTACCAAACTGTCAGCCACACAAATTAAAATATTACAACATGGAACTTTGCTTCAGACTCACTTGAGTACTGAGGTACAATGTTTAAGCTGTGCAGATACTTTGGCCTTAATGTAGTTGTGTGCGTTCGTGTTAATAATTGTTTTGCGTTTTTATCATCTCCAGGTCGTTTCTTATTCCTGCTACTGTCATAGTATGACATGCATAGGACTCAGTGTTTTGTTAATGTAATGTAAAAAAAACTGGTAGTATTAATTATATTGTCACACTTTTAAGTTAAAACACCTATCTTAAGTTATCAGCTTTATGCAGCTTAATATCTTGGGAGAATAATAAAGTATATTATTTCCACTCAATATATATAACATATGTTAATGTGCGCTGAAAGGCGCACAACACCCAATACTCAAAAACTCAAAATACTCAATATATTTCGATAAAAACCAAGTGAAAATAACACTTAAAGATGTCAGCACTATTACTGAGTAGTCAAGTAGGTACTTGTGACATGTTTCTGTTAACTGCCATGGTGCCACGTGCCCGTTAAAACTGCACAGGTATAGGATTTCAGGGTTCACTGGGACAGAGTTGCTTAATAAGGACGGCCAATCACAGCTGAGCTCAGGCGGCAGTCGGATCAAACATCCAGTTTTACAGTTTCAATGTCACAATGCATGCGCCATTAAATCACACCTGAAAATAAATCAGCATTAATACAAAAACTTTATTCTCACAATATCAAAATTGACAGACCTACAGAGATTTGTAGATTAAAAGGAATTAAGAGAGAAAACAATGATGAATATAGTGACTCCTACTGGGAGTCATTACATTAATGGTATTTATTTGTGATGGTGCTGAGCAGCAGCACTGGGTATGTTAAATAGTGACTCACATGACAAAATGACAGTTAAAAAGAAACATAAGAGCAAAAAACAGGGTGAGGGGATTGGTCATTTTGCATTTAATCCTGGCAGCAAAAATTATTCAAAAATCAAAAACAAATAACATATGCATTGAAGGAATTCCTTTAAAGATAAAATTGTCCTACACCTGCATATTTTTGAAAAAAAAAAAAAAAAAAAAAAATCTAACTCCTTCCAAATATTTCTAAAACTAAATGACAATGTTCGTCATGAAAAAAATACTACAAGTGTGGTGGAGGATAAGTCGAGGAGAGAGAGTGTCATATCTACAGAGTGAGAGAGGAGGACAGCAGATGGAAATGGAAGGAGGCTGAGGGCAGAAAGAAAATGACCACCTTATGTAGCTGAAGACAAGTGACAACAGTCATGGGCCCAGTATCGACCTCACCCCTACAACTTTCACAGTGACTGCTCTGTCAGGCTTGGGCAGTGCGGCAAAAATCCAGCTCTTCAAACTGAACCTGTGTGGAGCTTCAGAGGGTTTGGCGGGTTTTCTGTCTAACTGCTGTGAGTTCAGACTGACAGAACCGTCCAGCAGCAGGATGGAGTGCGGCAGGTGTGAAATGGTACCGGAGGTTTCAACACATCATGGCTGTCTGCTCAAAGCCTTCACAGAAAATAGTCAGCTACTGGCTTCTTGGAGGGGATGCCCCTGGTCTCTTGTGGTGCTGCTTCAAATATGATGAACTCTCGCTGTAGATGCTCATCCAGCTCCAAAATGGCCGCCACGTTGCCACATCTGATTGTCCAGAGACAAAAAAGTGGTTAGGATATTCACATATTTGCAGTTAGTCATGAAACTTTGAGGGTAAATCAACACATGGCTGCTATCTGTGATGTAAAACTGACTTGTGTCTATAAACTACTAGATGTTGGACATTGCTGTGTTCGCTCATACCTGGATGTGCTATGATACCAAACCAGGTAGTTTTCATACTTCACATATTAAAATCATCCAAATGAACATATACATGTATATGAATGGATTGAGGAGAGGGTCAGTGATGCAGGGATATCTGAACCACAGTGATGAGTCATTTTGAGCTTTATAATAGCTGAAGAATATTAAAAAATGTTTATATTAATGGATTATTCTTTGTATATCACGCTGTATAAGAACTACAGTTCCCATAATGCTTTAGAAGATGAAAACAGAAAGCTGTGGTTACAATGTGAGCACAGTTCTATATTTGTTTACATTTTGGCAAATTGACAACATTAACAGTATGCTAAATTAGCTATTAGCAGTTCCTGTTTGCACTGTATCCATGGATGTACAGAGAACTGGAATAACTTTACTACTGAAGAAAACCTGATGATTATAGGGCTCCCTCCGACCAAAGAGTGTCCTGGTCGACTAGTAGTCGTTAGTTCAAGGCATTAGGCGACTAGTTGTCACATATTTATGATATCAATTTAATTATGTAAATATATAATTTTGGGTGTATCCTAAAATGGTTAGAGTTCCAGGGCTGAGAAAGAATGTTATGAGTAACACACTGTGCTACACTACAGAGAAACACAAAACCATATTGATAGGCCTTTCAAATACAAACTTTATACAAACGCATGCACGAAACGAGCCGCCTGTTAACAACACTGCCAGTAATAGTAATGATTCTGAATGTGTTGAAACAACCAGAAATGAATCACTAAAACTAAAAATATGTATATCATGTCTGTATGTTCAGTTTTGACACCTTTATAGCTCTGAGAGGAAGTTTTTTTTTTTGTTTTTAACCATAGCTGCCTCTATGAGCTGTATGCAATTGCTGCAGCTCCAGATGTTGAGCGTTTTGATAAGATGGCCAGATTAGCAGCCAAACTACAATAACTAACTTTTCTTGTTGTTTTTGGAACAGCGGCCCCTACACAGAACTTTCCAAATGAATTTATTTCGATTCTGTGTTATGTAATAATATACAGTGTCTTGTGAGGCTTTATTTTTGGAGTAAGGACACTCACCAACAAGTGAATAAGACATAACACATAGTTAAAGTTTAGTTTCCTAAAACTAAACCAACATACCAACAGATCTGACCAGTTGATTCATTTCAACTTTAGCTACTATGTCAAAAAGACAATTTTGAGGACAATTCCTTCCCTAATGTCAAATAGGACACAAAACTGTGCAAAGAGGGTCACTGGTTACCATTAGAGAGAGAGACACACACACACACACACACACACACACACACACACACACACACACACACACACACAAGACCTCTCCTTAAGCACATATAACACACTGTGTTACTGTAACTTATCTACCTGTAGCAGTAGTTGGGTGCTGACCAGACAGTGAGCACCGTCTCGTTGAAGTGCCACTTGTAGCCCTCCATGACCAGCTGGTGTGCTCGGCAGATCATGTGGATGTCGTTGGCGGCGTTGAACTGGGCCACCACGTCGCTTCCAAACAAGTACCCAGCGCCTCTGGGACTCACTCCCCATCCTGTGGTGTCTGAGAGCAAGGAGAGAAAATCGGTCAGGTGATGATCTGATTTTAACATGATATCAGGATTAGGAAAAGACTTGTGTAAACTTTGGAAATTATTGCTGCGCGAAACATTCAAACACATTTTAGTCATGACATTAAACTAAGTTTCGTGACCAACACAAGAGAGACAAGAAAGTGCATGTGTGAGGAGAGAGATACTCACATTTCATAATGTATAATTAATGCTTGGAAATGAAATTCTGAATAAAATAGTTAATTTTCTTGTCTGCTGAAACACAGTTTAGTTGAAGACAGTGGACATCAGATATGTGGTGCAAACATGATAAATCCAGTGAATCCTTGAAAAGCTCTTCATCTCCCATGTTCCAAATGCCAAATGTTTTTCCACACAATCCACACTCTGTTGTCTTTTCAAAACCTTGACAAACAGTATATTGACACAAGACAATGTAGCTTGTTACTGTGGTCAGCTACACCTGTGATCATCGTATTCAGTAATTATTTGTCTGTCATCGCATTGCCCGATATAAAATAAGTACATACCACTTGTAAAACTTATTAATTATTAAACTGTGTTAAACTATGACTAATGACTTTTTCCAAAAACCTTTGAAGTTTTCTTGTTCTTCAAAACTTTGACAGACTTAGAAAACACAATTTACAAATTCCATGACTTTTTCAGGTTTTGCACGGCCATACAAACCCTATGTATATAAATTCCAGCACTTCTGCCAGTTGCCCTTCTTCAAATCAAAAATTTCCATGTTTCCTTGAACATTAATAAGCACATGAATCAATAATGCAGTGTTTAAAAGGCATGAGAGATTCCTGTATACCTTCAGGGTCCGACCACAGGAGGTCACACATGGGCCCGTCATGGGGC